TCTTACCCTACCCAAACCTTTCCCATGTCTCCCACAGAGCAAGATTACACGGCAGGTCGCCGACGCCCTCGTCAATCGCATACGGGGCCTCGAAGCGGATCCTACACTGCGCAGCAAGGTTCGTGCGCATGTGCGCTCCCTCCAAGCTTGCATGGTGCTGTCGTCATGGGTTCTGTTCCTGATGCACGCGCACGTCCTGTACGAGGCGCTGCAGCCGCTGCAGCTGTCTGCGCACCCCGCTGATTCGCTGTGGGTGATGCTGCGTCTGGCGTGCAACGGCCCCGGGCTAGTGGAGAACTGCAGTGATCTGGTGCACCTGTTGTGGAACGGACCCGAGCTGATGGGAAGCGGCGTGGAGCTGCTGCAGCTCACGGTGGCGCTAGGGCTGGGGTTGGCCACGAATGGAGGTAGGAAGTAAAACCGAACCATGGGTCACAACCGACCTTGGGTCATTAGCTCATTACCATGCTCCAGCGGCATGGGTGCCGACGGGAAGGGGAGAAGGGCGAGAAGGGGGAGTGGCAGGTGGAATGGGGCATGGGTTTGGGTTGGGGCTGGGAAGGCAGGGAAGGCTAGAAGCTGTTTATGTGTGGTACCATGCACATATATTTTGAAAAGTCCAGAATGAAAGCCACCATTGGTGAGCAATGCGTGTGAGAGCAGAGGTAAAGGAGTAGGAAAATACTGATTACTCGAGTACATGGTAGGAATGCAGGGCAAAGTGTAGGGTAGGTATGGTTTGGTAGGAGTAGAGGCGTTTCTTTGGGTGGATGTCTGAAGAGATGGGGAAGCGGCTCTGGATACCGCCGTTGAAAGAGGGCGGCAGCAGGCTATGAGACGAAAGGCACAGCAGTAGTGAAGGGGTGGGGGACTGTTACGAATGTGGACACCACTGTTGAAGGCTAGAGGAGGAAGTACACTGCAGCAGCTAGTCAAACATGAGGCCATACGCCGCTCTATCTTTCAGCGGGGCGTCATTACTGCCGCGTATTTTTAAGGTCGGTTAGGTTAGTTAGATATTGTAGTCAGTGCTGACCCGTGGGTCACCAGACATGGCCGCGTTATATGCACCATTGCGCGAGCAGCGCGGAGTAAACAGCAGGGATGCCGTCTGGTGGGTGTGATAAATTTTGAAGATATCTCGAGGGTGAAGTGCCGTGATGCCGTATAATTTGGAAAACAGGCAAGTTAGTTGTCAGGAGGGAACCAAAGGTAGGACGAAAGGACGAAGGACGAAAAGAGAAAATGTGAGTTTTTCCCAAGGGCGAACCAATGTGCAGGTTCAATACCATTTTGGGCCCATTTTACAAGTGAAAAAGAAGTTGTGGTAAGGTTAGGTCGGAATGCGTGTGCGTGTGCACGGCTCCTGTGCGCGGCTGTGGCTGCACCATTGACCCCCGCAAACGGCTTGATTGCCCGCTCCTGCGTCAATCGGATACGTATCGACCGAATTAGTCGGCTTAGTTTAGGAACGGTTGGCAGGGGCCGGGTTTTGCAGGAGTATATTGCTCATGTGTTTCCCAAGCTGTAGCCGCGAGCGGTTGCTTCCATGTGTTGCTTATGAAGTCCGGTCATCTGCCGGTTCATGTTTCCTGCAGGAGCATGTCTGCCCTGCGGGTCATTTTTTAAAGGAAAAGCTGGATGTATGTCCTGCCGCACGGGTAGCAGCTAGCGCTGACATGATGGCGTGATGCAGCAAGCTGTGTTTGCTTTGATTTATGAGTCAAGGGGGAGGAGGAGTTCCAAGGTTTTAAGGGTGAGGAGGTTTGAAGAGTGAGGAACGCCGCATTTTGAACAGTGAGCGAGTGTGGATGTGGGTGTACCATTCAGTCATATGTGCTGAATGGCGACTGGTGTTTCAACATGCACGCATGACTAGCAATTATGTTCACTCTAGGCTTTGTTGTTGTGGCATGTGGCTGTGTCCGGATGTTGCTATGCGGGCCTTGCAGTTGGAAGGCAGGACGCAGGTGGAAGAGGCCGAGGAAGGGATGCCTGGGGGAGGAGGAAGGAACAGCGGCGGCTGCTGTAATGCAATGCTGCTGCTGCTGCCGGTGGTGGTAGCTTGGTAGGCTGCGAGTCAAGGTTATATGATGGAGAGGGAGGAGCTGAAGTCAGACAGGAGGACAGGGAGCATGGCGAAGAGGCGGTTTGCGCACTCCTTGTAATGCGAAGGGGGCAGCACTCGACGAGGGAAGGGGGAGGAGGCCTTGGAGGCCTGGCTAGCTAGCAAGCTGTACACCGTTTTACCGGTGTGAAAAAGAGGTAGCTGCTGCGAAGATTGCGGCTCCCTGACAAGGACGCTACGGCCAGTTGTCAATTGTAATTCAGTCTGTTGCAATGTCGTACATTATTTGGCCCCCTCCACCTGCCGCAATCGTACAATGCATGTCACTGCATTAATGGTGTGCGAACCAATTAGACCCAGGCATTGAGAACGTCATGTAGCAGTACGCACATACCATCCCTATGCATGCCGTACCGTATATTGGGTGTCCTGCAAATATACGAATGGTAGCCATTTCAGCCCAATATCCACTGCTCAACTCCACCCGCTCGAGGTAGTTTACATGTACCGTATTCAACATAGCTTGCAGCTGCATTTTTGCTTTCAAACATATTTCTTCAATGAAACCAAAATACCTGCTACAGGCAGGATATGCAACCAAAACCAGCAACCGTTGTAAAGCAGAGGCGGCACAACAGCCGTACGACAGCACTGAGGCTGCAGCTCCTGCTGCTTACTGCTACAGCTAGCCCGCTACTGCTGCTGACCTAGCCATCACTGCTACTGCTACAGCAGCTACCGCCATTGCGGTTACCCTCTGTACCGGTCGTACTTCGTTTTAAAACGGCTGCTGCGGTTGCTGCTGTTCCTCCTGCTTTACACGTTCCTGGAAGGCCTGGAAGGTTAGCGATTTCCCCAAGGTCCCATGCCACATCCCCATCTTGCGTCAGGTCCGAGTGCCATGTCATTCATATATATCGTCGGTCCCACCTCGGGGCCTACAAAGGTTGCGGTTGCGGGTCGGGCAGGTGCTGCAGCAGCAGCTCCTCTATCATCGCCTCCAGCTATGAGCAGATGCGCCGCATGAGGGGTGGGGATGCGCGGGGAGGGGTGAGGGAGGGGTGAGGTCGGGGTGAGGGAGGGGTGAGGGAGGGGTGAGGTCGGGGTGAGGGAGGGGTGAGGGAGGGGTGAGGTCGGGGTGAGGGAGGGGTGAGGGAGGGGTGAGGTCGGGGTGAGGTCGGGGTGAGGGAGGGGTGAGGGAGGGGTGAGGGAGGGGTGAGGGAGGGGTGAGGGAGGGGTGAGGGAGGGGTGAGGGAGGGGTGAGGGAGGGGTGAGGGAGGGGTGAGGGAGGGGTGAGGGAGGGGTGAGGGAGGGGTGAGGGAGGGGTGAGGGAGGGGTGAGGGAGGGGTGAGGGAGGGGTGAGGGAGGGGTGAGGGAGGGGTGAGGGAGGGGTGAGGGAGGGGTGAGGGAGGGGTGAGGGAGGGGTGAGGGAGGGGTGAGGGAGGGGTGAGGGAGGGGTGAGGGAGGGGTGAGGGAGGGGTGAGGGAGGGGTGAGGGAGGGGTGAGGGAGGGGTGAGGGAGGGGTGAGGGAGGGGTGAGGGAGGGGTGAGGGAGGGGTGAGGGAGGGGTGAGGGAGGGGTGAGGGAGGGGTGAGGGAGGGGTGAGGGGAGGGAGTGGGAGGGAGTGGGAGGGAGAGGCGACAATGCGCCTCCGGGGGGCTGGGGGCAGGGTTATAGGGCACCGCATGCATGCATGCATAGCGGGAAGGAGAAGGATCAGCGGCTTGAAGCTTTACCCGGGCGGATTGCTCTCAGGAGCTTGCTCCGCCATGGTAGCATGCGCTGCGTGCCCCATGGGACGCTGCTTCAAAATGACACAAACACACGCCCGGCTTCACACAAGGTCCTTCCCCATATGGCGCCGCCGGGGAATCCGGGCCCCCGCACCACCCAGCGACGGCCCCACCCTGCAGACCTCCCCTCCCTGCCGAACGGAATCCCACTGTAACCCCCAGCGCATCACCCCCAGCACCCCGGCGCACTACTCCCAGACCCGATTTGCTCAGGAACCGCTATAGAGAAGCGCATTCTCTCTTCTCCACCCACCTGTTCCGCGGCGGGTCGCTCCCCCGGCTCCGGCGCCATGGCAGCAATGACGAGGCGGTGCAGGGCGGGCGGGTAGGCGGGGGCGGGCGGGCGGGGCCAGCTGATGGCGCAACTGGGGAGGCGAGGGGGGATTATTAGGGATGAAGATTCCGCATTAGAGAGGAGGGGAAAAATATAGATAAGTGCATCAACGGAGTCCCAATCCCGAAGAGAGGAAGGGGAAGAAGGGGGGCGGGATGGGCGCGAGTGGGGAGGAAGGGGAACGAGGGGAGGGGTTGGAGTGCAGCTGACCTAGTGTTACCGCTCCAGTTTGTTCCTTCCACATTGTAGAGCTACAACACACCAATGCTCATGCCGTACAGTGCTGCCGGACAGGTAACTCCTCCTCCCTCCTTTCAACTGGCAGCAGAACGCATCCCTTGCCCTTCCCCACCTCCTCCCCTCCCTTCCTCCACCTCCTCCCCTCCCTTCCTCCACCTCCTCCCTCTCCCCTCCCCCGCCCTCCTCACTTCATCACCGCCAGTGCCAGGCTGCCCCCCGCCCCCTGCGTGGCCCGCTGGAAGGGCGGCTCGCCGTACATCAGCTCGAAGCCGCAGCACCCCAGCGCCCAAACGTCGGCCGCTGCCAGGTCCAGGCGGGCGGGCGGGTGGGGCGGGTCCCACAGCTCGGGAGCGCGGTAGGGGGCGGAGCAGTGGGCCTAGTGATGGGGGGGGAGGGAATGGGATGGAATTGAAGGAACTAACTGACCAGCTGTGCGACATGGTGTAGGCTTCACCATGGTTTGGAAACATGGTAGCCGGCCCATCCCGCCCAGCCCGAAATAGGCAAGCCCCGACTAATAGCCAAGCCCCACCTCCCTCCCCCTAACCTCCCCCACCTCCGCCTCCTCCTGCAGCTGCCGCGCCTGCCCCCGAGTGGCCACCTCCGCCCACCGCGAGCGCGCACTGCCGAAATCCATCAGCACGCAGTGGTACCTGATGATGGCGGGAGGGAGGGGCGGGAGGTAGGGGCAGGACGAGTACAACTTACCGAATTGGGGTGCAACGTGGATTCGGAGATCGCAAGGATGCGCTGTACGGACAAGCATACACGCCGTACAGACACCTTGTCTGGGGGGACCGCTACTTCATTGCAACCATTGCAGATTGGTGACCAGCACCTCAGCCCTCCGCGGGTCCTACGCCTCCCTTCCCCTCCTTTCCCAAAGCTTGAACTCCTTACCTGCAACCGGCAGCTGCCCCCTCTGCTGCCGCTTGTTTCAATCCCACACCCGCCTCCAAGTCCTCTTCCTCCTCTGCGCCTGGCCGCACAGGCCCGCCCCGCTGTTTTTGCTGCTGTTGCCGCTGTCTTTGCGGTTGCTGTTGCTGCTGTTGTTGCTGCCCTCGTCGCTGCATCGCTGCTTGGCTCCCGGCATCCGCGTTGTCAATGACGGATAGCAGCACGTTGAGTGGTTTGATGTCCCTGAGGCCGCCACCCGAGGCGCAGGAGGTAGAGGAGGGTTACGGAGGCGGCGGTGGGAGGTGGGAGGGAGGGAGAGTGAAAGAGGCAAGCATAATAGCGGTAATAACACTAATAGCGATAATAGCGTTAGTAAGGGGGCATACACTGCCTGGTTTGTTGTAAACAGGGGCGGTAGGGGCATTGCCATGGGGCACCCAGCCCCGATGTAGGCCCTCGTCTTGCATGCAGCCCGCTAATACACCCTCCCCCCCATCGCCCGCATGCCCGCATACCCCGGCACCTCCCTCACCGGTGCACGTAGCCCAGCGCGTGCATGTGCCGTACAGCCTTGGTGAGCTGAGGGAGGGAAAGGGGAGGGGGAGCGAGGAGGAGGGGGCAGGGGGGACACGTGCAGGTGGGAGAAACCGCACATGAAAAGTGGAGCAGCTGGAGTCCCAATCCCATATCCCGACTCATGCAAGAGGTGGGAGGAGGGAGTGTAGCGAGGGACGGGGTGGGGTGGTTGAAAGGCTGGCAAGCAGGTGCTTGCCAACCCCAGCCCACCCGCGCCACCTAAACATACAAACACACCTGCAGCAGCACCCGAAGCACCTCCCCGCTCCCCAGCCGCTCCCCCCGCCCCGCCAGCCGCCCCAGCTCCCCCGCCAGCGTGCCGTAAGGGAAGGCGGGGGAAAGGAAACACGCCACGCCGCTGCCACCTGGGAGCTGTGGCATGGTGGCGCTGCTGGGGTGCATGTTGCTACCACCGCCGTCTCGAACCATGAGCACTGTGGTTTCGGAGCGCGAGCAGGAGGAATCCACAGCAACAGCTGGAGGAGCGTGAGGAGTGTGAGCAGCATGGGCAGCCCCTCCTCCTCCTCCACCACCTCCTCCTCCCCCCGCAGCAGCACCTCCTTCCGAGCAGCAGTAGTCCAGCAGCGGCAGGATATGCGGGTGATGTTGTACGGCGGTGTGTACGAGCATCTCCCGCTGTACGGCCTCGTAGTGCTCCCCGGACTGCAGCAAGACCTGGCGGGGGTTAGGGGGGAGGGTTGGGAGTGGGGTAGGGGCTTGGGTTTACGTGCTTAGTTTGGGTGGGGTCCAGAGGAGCTTAGGGAGACGTCAAGAAAGGCACTGTACGACAAGGAACGACAAGAGCCCTTGTCGTACCTTTTTGATCGCCCTGGGTTGGCTGTCCGGGTGCGGGTGGAGCTGGGAGGGCAGCTCCGAAACCAGGTAGACGACTGCATAACCGCCTTCGCCTAGCTGGGGGTTGGCAGGGTGGGGGATCGGGGAGGGGAGGGGAGGGCTGAAGATTCCTCTCATGCCGGTACGGCGGTACCCTAGCCAAAGTCCGCAACTCCCCAACCACCAAGACTGTCGTACTCCTTGCCTTGCGCAACACACGGAACCGACGTTGCCCCATGTTGATGATCTCTCCGCCTCCAAGCAAGCCCGGCAGAAGGGCGGACGGCCATGTGGGCAGACCACATATCGGCAGGTAGGATGCTCCATACGCCCAGCAATCCGAAAGCAGTTGGCTGTAGTTCATGGTGTATGCCGTAAAGATGTTAACTGTGAATTGTGTTTTGCATAGTTTATGGCAAATGTACGCGTGGAGCTAAGCTACGATGGCGAGGAGGTAGCGGTTAAAGGCAACAACATCATTCGAGCTTGCAGGAAGGAGTGTTAAAGGTCTCACAAGCTCGGCGGACATGTATGTTTGGAAAGCAGCAATGAGCTTTGAAAGAGTTTTGTGCAAGTGAAAAGTGCTCTTGCCCTCCTTGCGACCCGAAACCGTCTGAGTGTTGACGAAGAGTCGCTTGGATCTATGTTATGGCTGGTGATATTAACTGCTACGTTATGGAGCGTATCCGAGAATGCCTCTTACAGCGCGCTATCGTACTAATGGAAAGCAAATCCCTGTATCGCACTGGGACCGACAGCAATCCAGTTCTGAGTAAAACGGAGAGGCGATCTGTTGTGGACGGTCGCACTATGTTTCCAAGAACAACGACATGTAGCTCTAATGGCATTACCGTGTAACTACCTGTAGACGCTGTGCTTCGCTATTCCGCGCTAACCGCTGGGACAAATGCATAGCGCTGCTTCAAAGTTTTCTGCAAATAGCATAGGCCCAGCGCAGCCGAAATCCATACCTTGCAAATTCCCTGCTGCGCGCCAACAGGTTTGCGTGCAAGCGAATCGTCGAGAAGGCAGACACTCAACATCCGGCAACCAAAGCAGCAATAAAAGCGCCAAAGGTTCCCAAAAACCTGGTGGAGCGAGGAATGGTCGTTCGGATGATGCAAGCAAGGCTCGCGTTCGCGACCTACAACGCGCCGCACGCCGCGCTTCTGCGCGAGCAGACGACGTTGTATCCAGTAGAGTTACTATACAGCAACGGTTCGCCTCGCAACGAGTATCACAGGAGCTAAGGGCTCCTGCTTCCTTCACCGACGATGTTCGGTCGGATGGCGACCGATACCGCAAAGAGGAGGAGGAAGGAGAGGACCTCTGGCCTAGTCGGGAAGCAGTGCTGGGACCTCCCTCTATAGGAGCCTCGCCGGTATCATCATCACAATTACAGCATCAACACCCTTTAGGCAAGCGAGCAGGCAGCAGCAGTAGCAGCAGTAGCAGCAATCCTACAAGTACCCGTGGCACAGTGCGGCTGCTGACAGATGTGATGGCGGCTGTGGAAGGCAGTAGCGGCAGTAGCGGTAGCAGACAGCGGTTTCGTAGCAAACACGATGGGGAGGAGGCAGACAATGAGGAGCAGGGGGGCCAGCAACTGGTGCCGTACGTGGACGTAGCATTACAGGTGACGATGGTGCTGCATGGGAATGCCTGGCTGTACGACACTTGTTCGCTCGTCCAGATTCATCCTCGAATCAGGCGTACGGCAGACAGTGCTCACAGCGTCCAAGCGCAATAACACTTGGTTCGCTGTCTTCCACTACTAACATGGGGGCTGCCATCCACTTGTGCGACTGTGCTACCTGGCGACAATGGCTATCTGGAGGATGGAACGTGATTCATCATTACTGTCTTCACCCACCCACCAACTGCCCCCCGCCCCCTGCCCCCGCAGGCTCTGGGTCTCCCCCCTCGTTCCAACCGGCACGCTGCCTCCTCCTCCTCCCCCCTCGCCACCAGCAGCAGCGTTAGGCGCACGCAGGGTACTGCAGTGAGTGCCGCAGGAGGGACCACTGCCCCCGACCAGGGTGAGGAGGGCGGTTACTACAGTGCTGCTGGTGACGATGTTGATGATGATGAGGATGGGGGAGGCAACGGAGATGCTGCTGCTGCTGCTCGAGGAGGTGGTGCAGGAGGAGGGGCAGGTGCAGGTGGGGGTGGTGGCAGGGGTCGCGGCGCCCGGCGGGGTGCGCTGCGGGGTCTGCTGGAGCGGTACGAGGCGGTGTGGCGGGCGGCTCTGGACTTGGAGCTTCAGGTGGGGGTGGCGGGGTAGGGCGGTGTGTGGGGAGAGAGTAAGGGCAAAGAGGGAACAACGAAATGACCGTGTGATAAGGCGTCATAATGGTTTGTTGTTTCATGGTTTGGGGGAGTAAGCAGGAGGTAGGGAGAATGTGGGGAGAAAGGGAGGGACAAGGGGCGCGGGGGGAAGGGGAAAACGATGATACTGGACCTGGAGCTGCAGAGGGAGAAGGTGTGGAGGCGGGAGAGGGCAGATGCGTTGGGGAAGGGGTGTAAAAAGAAGAAACAGACGAACTGAGTCTAAGCTCCTTCCGTCTTGCGCCTGCGGCTTCCCTGCAACGTCCCGCCACCCTACCCTCCTGCCTTCGCTCCCTCCTTCCCCACGTCAGGAGGAGTGGGCGGCGAGTGAGGAACGGCTTCGCAGCTGGGGCCGGTGAGGGGCCTGGAGGGGATCCTAGAGGGAGAGGGAGGGAAGGGAGGTGTGGGAATGGGAAGGAACTGGTCCAACCCCATGAACCTGACTCCCTCCTCGCCCGAAAAACCTCTGTCCTCACTTCTCCCCTCTCTCCTGCTGCCCTGCCGTACTACTCCTCTCCCGGTTTTACTCCAACACCCATTCCACCCCACCTGCCGCCTCCAATCCCTATGCTCGCACCCTCTCTTATGGTTTGGTTTTTTCTCCAACCCCTCCTGTCGTACAACAACCTGCTACAGCCCCCGCCTGGAGGCTGAGGGCTGCGCTCTGTTCGACCTGGTGGCCAGCCGGGATCACGTGCTGTTCCGGGACGCCGTACTGCGGTTTGCCGTACCGGGGGGCAGGCAGCTGCCGTACCACTGCCTGGGGGGCGGCGACATCGTGCTACTGTCCCCAAATAACAGGTGCGGGGGTGAGGGTGATAGGAGGGAGTTAGTGGTGCATGCATTCATGGATGCATGTGTACGGATGCAGGCGTTACAGGGGGTTTTGCGGTTGGTGGTTGGGTCCGGTCCAAGAAAGGAAGTAGATGGCACGCTGCTAAGGGGACATGGCAGTGGGGGGACGTAAGTGATTCCTTACCCCCCCAAATTCCCATCCCCACCTCTACCTCTACGCCCCCCCCCCTCAACCCCGCCCCCATAAGGCCCTCCGAGGCCTCCCTAGAGGGTGTCGTACTGGATTTCAGCAGCCGCTGGATCCGAGTGGCGCTACCCGAGGAGCGGGCGGCGGAGGTGCAGGTGGGGCGGGGATTAGAAGGGGGAAATGGGGGTGTTTGCCTTGTTAGGGCGTGATGTGCTGCCACCATCGCTGGTCTTCACGACTTGGTCTTCTTCTCCTCTCCTTCCTCCCTTCCCTCTCCTCAGACACCCCTCTCCCCCCCTGGGCTCCCCTCAGTGCTTCACTTCTTATTTATTTCCCCCATCCCCGCCTCTCTCCCCTCCCCCTTCCCCCTCCGCCCCCCAGGGCGGCCACTGGCGTCTGGACCTGTACGCCAACACAGTGGCTCACGAGAGGGCTCGAGCCGCACTCAAACGCTACTGCCAGCTAGCCGCAGGACAGCAACCAGACAGCAACAGTAGCAGCCCTGGCAGCAGCACTAGCAGCAGCCCTGGCAGCCCTAGCAGTAAAGACAAGGACGATGCATCCTCCTCTTCCTCAAGGGACCTGCTACGAGCCCTGGCGGGACATGTGCCCTCGGGCTCTGCCAACTCCAGCTCCTCCTCCTCCTCGTCTTCCTCCTCCTCCTCCTCACCCAGCCCCTCCCCCCTGGAGGCAGTTGCCGCCGTACCGCCCCCCTGGTTGCGAGGTACGGCGGGCAGGGAGCGGTTGACTGCAGCCAGGAGGCTGGTGCGGGCGGCGACGGCGGAGAAGGGCGGGAGAGAGAAGGGGGTGACGAGAGCGGTGGGGAAGGGGGCGGCAGCGGGAGTGAAGGGGGGAGCAGCGGCGGCAGGAGGGGCAGCGGAAGGGAAGGAGGAGGAGGAGGAGGAGGAGGGGAGGGAGGAGGGTACAGGGAGGAATGGGAGGAAGCAGTATGTTCTGAACGCCAGTCAGGCTCGAGCGGTGGAGGCGGCGCTAGGGAGGAGCCTCACGCTGTGGCAGGGGTGAGGCGGGGGGAAGGGTAAAGAAGAAAAAGCGAACCACGTGGCAAGGCGGGGAGGGGCGCGTAGTGAACATGAAGTGGGTGGTAGGGGTGTGAAAGGAAGTGGAGAGCAACGGTTTGGTAAAGTGGTGGGGGGCACTATTGCATGTTCTATTGTTCTTGTTACGTGTTCTTCCGGCTTTGTCCTCCTTCCGGCTTCTGTTCTCCTCCCAGCTTCGGTTCTCATTCCGCCTTGGCTTTTGTACAACCCCTCTCTCCGCTTTCCCTCCCCCCAACCCCTATACAGGCCCCCCGGCACCGGCAAGACCGCCACCCTGCTGCACTTCATTCGGGCCACCGCTCGCGGCGCCCTAGCGACCCACGGGTCAGTCGGCCCCCGCGTGCTGGCGACCGCCGCATCCAATGTGGCGGTTGACAACCTGGTTTCGGGGCTGCGGGCTCTGGATCCAGATCTGGATGTTGTACGAGTGGGTCAACCGGTGAAGGTGGCTCCGGAGCTGCGGGGAGTGAGCCTGGAGGTGGGGGGGCTCAGGGTTTTGGCACTGCCGTACTCGCACGAACCGTAAACCCTACATCCAGCCCACAGTTGTGTTTTACGACTCAGGTGTCACTGGACCATGCAGGCTGTATTGTGCCCCGAGTAAACCCCATTTTCGCCCTGGATTCCCTCCTACCCTTCTGGTCCCTCTCTCTCTCCAACCCCGGCCCTTCCCACTCCCTCCGTAGGTGGACAGCCGTTCTATCTTCCTCTGAGCCCCTTCCCATCCCTCCCTCGTTTCCCCCCCTCCCCCCACCCCCTCCCCCCCTAGGCCCGCATCGCCGCCACCCCTGAGGGCCACCGAGCTGCCCGGCTGCGCAGGAAGGCTGCGGGGCTGAGGGGAGCCGAGGCCTGGAGCCTCATACAACAGGTGCGGTACGAGTGTACGACACAGGTACGGCACACACACGGCACTGCGTACGGCACACACGGCCAGTTTTCTTGACACAGCGTTGCTCCATCGGCGCAAACCACATCTCATGAGCCCCCCGGTACGGCACCCCGGTCACGCCCATGCTCTGTAGTACCCTATGCAGCACCACTCCGGCCTGCTTCAAGAAACGGCCCCCAAACCCCATCACTTCCCCCTTCCCTCGACGCTCAATGCAGGCGCTGCAGCTGGAGGAGGGGGCGGCGCGGGACATCCTGTCCCGAGCTGACGTGGTGGCAGCCACCTGCATTGGATGCGGGGAGCCCCGGATGCAGGTGGTGGGGGGCGGAGGGTCAGGGGTCTTGGTTGTTCCTCTTTTCGTCACTTGTTCATCTTTCTTACCATGTCGCCGTCCCTTGATCCCCTCATCCTTTCCTTCTCGCATTGCGCGTGCCATGTCAACCTCAACGCCCCCTCCCCATCCCCTCTCTCTCCTCCTCCACTCCCACCTCCCCCCAAAAGGCCACACTCATCCACCGCATGCTTCTTCTCCTCCCTCCCCCTCCCCCTCCCCCTCCCCCTCCCCTCCCCTCCTTCACCCCTCCCCTCCTTCACCCCTCCCCTCCCCCTCCCCTCCCCTCCCCCTCCCCTCCCCTCCCCCTCCCCTCCTTCACCCCTCCCCTCCCCCTCCCCTCCCCTCCCCCTCCCCTCCTTCACCCCTCCCCTCCCCCTCCCCTCCCCTCCCCCCTACCCCCCGCAGTCCCTCCGCTTCCCCGTGGTGGTGCTGGATGAGGCCACGCAGGCCACCGAGCCGCACACACTGGTACCGCTGGCGGGCGGGGAGGGGCAGGTGGGGCTGGGGTGGGGAGGAGGTGGGGGCGGGCGGGCGGGCGTGTAAGGGGTAGGGAGGGCTGGATGTGAGCAGGAGACACCCATACCCTGCATGTCACCTTGCATCAGTCATTGCTCGCAGCAGCTAGCACTTCTCGCTGTGGCCGCAGCGACCCAGGCAGGGCGCCGACAGGGCTCCTTTCACGCCCCGTTGCCCCGCCCCCGTTGCTCCTCTGGAGACCCCCTTCCTATACCACTGCTGGCCCCCCTCCGGCCTCCCTCTTCCCCCCCCCCCAGGTGCAGCAGCTGGTGCTGGTGGGCGACCCGCGGCAGCTGCCCCCCACCGTGCGCAACGAGGAGGCGGGGCGGCTGGGGCTGCGGCTGCCGCTGTTTGAGAGGCTGCAGGTGGGCTGGGGAGGGATGGGGGGAGGGAGGGAGGGGGATTGATTACCTTAGGTCCAACCCCACCTCCTCCTCGCCTTCCCCTCTTTGTTGCGGCTAGCCCAACCTTTCAGGCCATCCTCCTTGTCCCATCCTTCCCTCTCCCTCCCCTTCCCCTCCCTCCCTTCCCCTCTCCCCACCTCCCCCACCCTCCCCCTCCCCCCCCAGCTCCTGGGCCTCTCCCCCCTGCTGCTGGACACGCAATACCGCATGCACCCCGCCCTCGCCGCCTTCCCCTCCGCCGCCTTCTACGCCGGCAGACTGCGATCCGCCCCCGCCCCTGCGGACAGACCGCTGCCGCCGGGGCTGACCTGGCCCAACCCGCGGGTGAGTGGCGCACTGGTTGGCACCGACTATCGCTAGCTAAATAAACCGTTCCGCCAATCACAAGTACGTCCCTACTCGCGGCCTCGTTCCTTACGAGTCACCGTACGACACCAGGGTTCACACCTTCCGATATATACCAGTACACGCCTGCAAGTGGCAGCTACCGCCTCCTCAGTTACGCCATCGCGTTTCCTCAGTTATATGTGCAACTAGCATGTGTACTTGAGGAGGTATTGGCATTGCACATGGGACGCCCCACGCCTCCCGTTTCACTCCAAACCTTTCACTAGCCCACCCTGACTTTCCGAACTCGCCCGTCCGAATGCCGTACACGTCCGTGTACAGGTTCCCGTCTGCTTCATCCCGGTACGGCACGGCAGGGAGTCCCGTACGACTGCCGCCAACGACGCGGCCACTCCGGGCGGCGCAGCGGGGTTCTCCTACTTGAACGAGGCGGAGGCGGAGGTGGTGGTGGCGGTGGTGGCAGCCCTGCTGAGCGGGGGCGGCGGGGGCGGAGACGGAGGTGGTGAGGGCGGCACGGGCATTGGTCCTGCTGACATCGGCGTTATAACGCCGTACAACGGCCAGGTACGCTGCTTATTGTGTGGGTCAGGGAAATGAGTGGAGAACGCTGTATGATTGTTTCCTGTGGAGTAACGTTGCAATATCGGTAGCAACGCCGTAGTGTACTACCGGTATGATGCAGTTCGTCGGGCCACCGTGCTTACCCGTACTGTTCGTCGCGCCCAGCCTTGCCCCTGCCCTTCTTAGTACCGGTATACCCCACCACCACCACCACCACCCCTACCCCCCACACCAGGTGCGTCACCTGCAGCAGCTACTGATGACCCGTGGGTCGGCAGCTGCATCCCGCCTGCCCCGCCCCGGAAGGAGCAGCAGTAGCAGTGCTTCCGGATCCAGATCACGGCAGCTTGCCGCCCTGGCGCTGGAGGGGGTTTCGGAGCAGTTGGAGGTTAAGTCGGTTGACGGATTCCAGGGCCGGGAGAAGGAGGTCATCATCTTCAGTGCCGTACGATCCAACCCGGAGGGGCGGCTGGGTTTCGTGTCTGACCCCCGGCGCCTCAATGTGGCCCTCACACGCGCTCGGCGGGGGCTGGTGGTGGTGGGTTGCCCAGACACGTTGGGGAGGGGAGGGCGGCGGCGGAGGGGTGGGGAGGTGGGTACGAGGGGGGAAGAGGAAGAAGGGGGTGGGAGAGGAGAGGGTGAGGAGCAGGGTGTGTGGGCGAGGTGGCTAGCATGGGCGGAGGCGCATGGGTGCGTGATGAGGGGCGGGTGGGGTGGGGGAGAGGACAGTGGACAAGCATGATGAGTGCAGCACGCGAAGCAACCTGCTGAACCGGCTAGGATGGGGTGGTAGGGGAATAGGTGCAGGACGAGGTGATGTGAACATGTGATGGGGGTGCAGGTGGCATGGGGGTGCATGTGGCACGTGAGGAGGGGTCGCTGCTCGTCATGTATGTGGCGTGCATGATGTTGTTTTGGTGCGAGTGCGAGTGCGGGTTGGGGTGCGGCAGTTGGACCATAAGCAGAGAGGGGTGCAGGGGGCGATATGCGTACCTATTTATGGAAAATGGGGACAGGGAACGAAGAGGGGAGAAGGTAGAAGTGGCAGAAGGTACAGGCTTCTGACGGTGGTTGCATGTGTACCCTGTACAGCCAGCGTGTGTTGTTGCACACGACGAGCACCATTTCCGTACATCTTCCGTACATGTACAATATAGCAGCCTGGCGAGGTGTCGGTTCGAGGTCTATGCAGAGACAGGCACGAAGCCATGTCCAACAATGTGCAGTGCCGGTGGTGCCTCCTTGGGGGAGTTGCGGTCCTCAGGGTTTGGACACACTCTGTAAGCCGTTGGTGTAATACCCTAAGATCGGTAAGATGTCATGGAAAAAGGGTACCTCACAAACTCGAAAGCAGGCACATTTGAGGGCCTGCAGCGTATGAGCACCGCCCATGAAGTGCAACGACGACAATGACCCCATGGAAGGATGAACGCTGCACAGCCCATAGCGGAATCCCAGCCTGCGAAACACAGCCGTTTCATATCTCTTGCACCCTATTTCGGTTCTCCCTGCCAAATCCTTATCCTTCGTTAGTGCGGACTTCCAGGCGTCATCGACATGCAGTGGGCATGCCGTGGGAGAATCAGAGCGAGGATACCCAAATGACGCTTTTTGGCACCATCGCAAGTCTAGATGCTTGCAATCTATTTCTTGTTGTAGCCTTAAGATATTTAACACCCCTCCTGCTCGCGTCATGGCCGCTGAACGCAATATCGCGAGGTGCTTTACATACTGAGTATATCTTGAGCCCCAGTTGACACACGGGCTGCTGCTAGGTTGAACAGCCTTGAGTGTAAAGCGCGGATAGGTACAGACAAACAAGACAGAGGAGCAATACCGGTACAGGATACCATAACAGAATTGTATTATGGGCTAGCTGCAAGACGTATCAAGGCTACCAGAATGGATGTTGCGTGCGTAGTTGCTTAACTACAAGACGTGCCAGTCCAAAATGGGGGCCAGACATGCAATGCACTTCTCAAAGCTTAGGGCTCAGCACAAAGTATACATGAAAGAGTATATAGTCAGAAAATGTTGAACGCTAACCAATCTGGCGCTTGCCAGAAGGGCCCAATTCGATCTGTGTACGGCAGGGTGGGCTTCGGTGCAAAAGGCTTGTTCAACATCCTGGCTTCGTCCTGTTCGCAGCGTCGACCTATCACGTCCGTTAAATACCAAACACAAAGATGGCCGTCTCTATGCGCGCTGCTCAGACCGCCAAGGCCGCTCGCGTTAGCCGCGCTGCCAGGTGTGCTATTCAATGTCGCATCGGAGTGCAAAACTTAGGTCGCTCAGCCCGTGGCATCTGCGCTCCGTCCGCAGGCCTGTTCGCGCCAACGTGGTGTGCAGGGCGCAGAAGGTCGAGTTCGGCCAGGCCGCCGCTGCTCTGGTGGCTGCCTCTGCCCTTGTTGCCGGGGTGGGTCGACTTTCAGAACTTGGAGGCGCGCTAAGTCGCTTTAGCGTATTAAAAAAATATAATACTTTACTTTATAGAATAGGATCTTGCGCTCTAAAGTCGGATCGCTGGTGGACGCGTCGACCAAAATGCCAAGATGACTTTTCTTGCTGACCGCCTAACGGTTGTCCGCTATCCCTCCTTTCCTCCCCATTACAGTCCGCCAATGCCCTGACCTTCGACCAGCTCCAGGGCCTGACCTACCTCCAGGTCAAGGGCAGCGGCATTGCCAACACCTGCCCTGTCCTGGAGAGCGGCACCACTGACCTGAAGGAGCTGAAGGCTGGCAGCTACAAGCTGCAGAACTTCTGCGTTGAGCCTACCTCTTTCACTGTTAAGGAGGAGGCCCAGTTCAAGGGCTCTGAGCCCGAGTTCGTGAAGACGAAGCTCATGACTCGCCTGACCTACACCCTGGACGCCGTGAGTCAGCAGTAAATTGCTTTTACAATCCATATAAAAAATACTTAGCTGTCAAGCAGATCTTTGTATGAGTTCGGTTGGTTGCTAACATGCGATCGGGCCTATACTTGGCCTATCAACTTGGCCTATACTTGCAGATGAGCGGCACCCTGAAGGTCGGCAACGACGGCTCTGCTGAGCTGAAGGAGGACGACGGCATCGACTACGCCGCTACCACTGTGCAGCTGCCCGGTGGCGAGCGTGTGCCCTTCCTGTTCACCATTAAGCAGTTCGATGGCAAGGGCAGCCTGGACAACATTAAGGGCGACTTCCTTGTGCCCTCCTACCGCGGTGCTACCTTCCTTGACCCCAAGGTGCGAACGCGCACGCTAATCAACATCAAAATGCGTAACAAGCCATGCTCCAATTCCCGTGTCACTGACTGCTGCCTAGCAATGACAAACGCCTGCTTTTCGCTGCGCAGCTGCTCTTGAAGACACATCAGTTTCAATCATCCTGCCCCCGTTGCCGCTTCCAGCTTTGCCTCCCCTCCCCCTCCTCTTCATCTCCCCCCTCCCCTTCTCCTCTCTCCCAATCCTCAGGGCCGCGGTGGTGCCACCGGCTACGACAACGCCGTTGCGCTGCCCGCCCGTGCCGATGACGAGGAGCTGCTGAAGGAGAACGTCAAGAACACCAAGGCGCTCAAGGGCTCCGCCGTCTTCTCCGTGGCCAAGGTGGGGAAACAAGCCTTGCAGCGTTCTTGGGGCGGCGGGTTGCCAGTCGTGGAGTGGCAGCAGAGGGTTGGGTTGGGATTTCACATGGCGTGCAGGCGCATGATTGCGTTCCTTCATGGGTGTTCAGGGGTATTTGCGGCAGTGCCCAGCATTTTCCGCCATTTGCCGTCCTCGTGCTTGCCGCTTGACTTCCCTCCCGAGCGCACCTCAGGACAACGACACTTTACACCCCTCCCCCCGGTTTATCCCAACAGGTTGACACCGCTACCGGTGAGATTGCCGGCGTGTTCGAGAGCGTGCAGCCCTCCGACACCGATCTGGGCGCTAAGGTGCCCAAGGACGTCAAGGTCACCGGCCTCTGGTACGCTCAGCTGCAGTAAGCTGGCCGGCTGTATCCTAGCCCAGCTGCTTAAGCATTTCAACTGCGGCCTTCACAGCGCAGCTGGCTTCTTCAGTTCGCTGTGGCTGTTGATGACCGGCGCTTATGCTGCTGGTGCTATTTGCGGTCCCTGCTCTTGCATAAGAGTTTGGGGCCTGCTGCCGGATAGCTGCTTTGGGAGAGCGGGAGCAACTTGTTGAAGGCATCTTCTTTGCCGCGCAAGGGCAAGGCTAAGAGCAGGCGGAAAACGAGGCTAGGGCGTTGTTTGGTTGTGGAAAGGGACTTTTTGTTGTTGCCCGTGTCCTGACCACTTCTATTCAGCGTTGTTAGCAGAGCCGACTTGGTTTGCGATGCGAGCAGAATATCGTGGAGCGGAAGGTTGTGACAGCTGAGCTTGCTTCCTGATAGGAGGATCAGGGAGGATAGCTCTTTTTGTGAGCGCCAGTCGGACTGAGAAGAACGAAGAGAAGAAAGCGTTTAAATTAATTCGCGCATGTCGGCTATCGTCTGTGTAAGGCTTAATGCTGCCGGAGCAGAAGGGGCTGCTTGCGCTCGTCGCGGAAAAGGGACACTGTTCCTGTGTGGCACGCGCTTCTAGTAGGCAGACCGCGCGATGACACACGGGGCGGGTCAATAAACCCTCTTTCTGTGGAGTAGCGTGAGAAGACGTTGCATGTCTTTCCCATCTGTAGATAACATGTACGATACCATCGCGTGTGTAACGCACCAGAGAAGAAGCCCTCCTTTGTCTCTCTACTGCTTACTTCCAGTGCAAACGGTTGCACCATGTAGATCCACCATGCGACCGGATACGACACAGGCAGCAGGATACCTGCGATAAAGCCATCAAACGATCAACGACCAACAGCCGTGGTCGACGGCGGCCACGTGTCCGCCCAGGGGCTGGTGGGCAGCGAAACAGGAACCATTCTTCTTGCAGGAGGTGTGCCGTCCCGTGGGCCACACGGAGGAAGGAAACATGGGAGGACAAATAAGAGGACTTAGCGCACAGAGAGCTGTTCAGGAAGGTTCCATCAAGCTAGCTAAGCGTGATGTCATGAATGCTGGGACCCTTCAGAGCACTTGCACATGCTTGCCCCTCGGCATTGGCGCGAGGCTACATGTTGGTAACCTGTATATATGACCTCGCTTGGGCCTTTTTAAGCGTTATAGAAGTAGCTTTGCAGTTGTAAGCTTGCGCAGGCGAGCACCCGATCGATCCTGTGTTGTACGGAAAAGCGACCTCAGCGCAAGCAAAGTGAATACATTGCTGTATCTCATGCAGTACAGTCACTGTATCCAATTGGCATTTTGACGTTGCCATCGGGCAGTCTTTTACGTCGCTCCTGTACCACAATGAACGTTGCAAAGCTCACGACGGGTAAGCAGAACTACAGTATCTACATTAACTCGTGCGGTTAACATCTTTGAATATCTTACTGCACCAACTGCCGTTCGTATGCTGTCGCGGCGGCCATGACTTATCGCTTCTATCGTTGGGCGTTCCGAATGCAGGCCTGCCCCGGCAGTGCTTCAGGACAGCTCCATGCCGCATTGTCCGAGGTAGGATGACAGCGCGAGTGGGGTGCTCGGGACAACTGTCCCAGGGGCCGGACCATGCGGCTGGATGAGTGCGTGGACCCCACAACAATGTAACCCCCTCGCGCTTTGGGGTAATTCTTATGATAGTCGAGTAATCCTGCTCCTCACATCACCTTCAGTCCACCATTATCTTTCATGACGCGTATGTCCTAACAAGCATGCATGCCCCGACATGCCAACCCGACAGGCATGGTCGCCGCTCGGTCCGTGACGACGGGAGCCGCAGCATCCAGCACTCCCAGCGGCAGCGGCGACTTTGACTTTGACTTGTTCACCATTGGAGCGGGCAGCGGTGGAGTGCGTGGCTCGCGGTTCGCCGCATCTTACGGTGCGTGTTGTGCCACACCTCCTCCTTCCCTCCTCCCCCAAACCCACACCCACCTTCCCTCCCTCCCCCCCTCCCTGCCCCCCCCCAGGCGCCAAGGTGGCGGTCTGCGAGCTGCCGTTCGACTACGTCTCCTCCGAGCGGGCGGGCGGTGTGGGCGGCACCTGCGTGCTGCGCGGCTGCGTGCCCAAGAAGCTGATGGTGTATGCGGCGCAGTACGCGGAGGAGTTCAAGGCGGCGGAGGGGTTCGGGTGAGGGCCGGAGGGGTTCGGGTGGGGGCCGGAGGGTGAGGCAGGGGCAGTGGAGGGTGAGGTAGAGGGGCCGCCGGTAGGAGGTGAGAACAGGTAGTTGCGTGTTGCTCAGGGTAGTTCTTCAGCAGGTATCTCCTAACGTCTCAAGTCCTCTCGTTAACCGTAACCCCTGACCGCCCCCCCACCCCCGCCTTCCTCTCCCTCTCCCTCTCCCACCCCTGTGCTGCTCAAACCCCACCCAGTTGGACCCTTCCTGCGGGTGCCGTACAACACAGCTGGACCTCCTTCATTGAGGCCAAGCGCAAGGAGCTGCAGGTGGGGGTGGGCGGGTGGGGGTGGGCGGGTGGGGGTGGGCGGGTGTGGTCCATGCGCAAGCCCCCCCCCCATCCGCGGCCTTGGGATCCTCCTCTGCCCATCTGCTCCCCCTCCCATAACACATGGTCTTCTATTTTCTTCCTCATAACGCGATACCCCTCCTTCTCCTCCCCTCCAGCGCCTCAACAACGCCTATAAGAACACACTGAACAACGCCAAGGTGACGCTCATCGAGGGACGCGGCAGGCTGGTGGACCCGCACACCGTGGAGGTGAGGGGGGGGGAGAGGGGGGAAGGGAGGGGTGCGTGTGTTAAGAAACCGGCCGCGTGTGTTAAGAAAACTGGCCGCGAGTAGGAACGTACTGGGATGTCGGAAGGTGAAGTCCCCAAAGAACCGCCGCAGGAGCCGAGGAATATGGTAGTGTTTGCGTTACATGGTAGACCGCCAGGGGGTGGTGGAATCGCACACCGTGGAGGTGAAAAGCGCAGCAACTCGCTCCTTCTCCCCTTGTTTGAATTCACACCTTCCACACCAACACTTCCACACATGCCCCTTCCCCCCTCCATCTCCCAGCTCGATAGTTGCCTCTTCAGTTTCTTTGTCTTTACCCCCCATCTCCCACTCCCCCCAGGTTGACGGCCGGCGCTACCGCGCGCGAAACATCCTGATCGCGGTGGGCGGTCGCGCCAGCCGACTGGACATCCCCGGAGCTGAGCTGTGCATCACCAGTGACGAGGCGCTGGAGCTGCAGGAGTGCCCAAAGAAGGTAGGGAGGGGGGGCGGGATGGGGGGAGCGTGTGTGTGTATGCAATTTAACATCAATCACCGTGCCCCACCCGTCCAGGGCACCTACCGCTACATCCCGTTCGCCCCTCCACGGTTTCCCTACCCCGCTCCCCCTCCTCCACTCTCCCCCTCAGATCGCGGTGCTGGGCGGCGGCTACATCGCAGTGGAGTTCAGCGGAATCTTCGGGCGGCTGGGCGCGGAGGTGCACACCTGCTACCGGCAGCCGCTGCCGCTGAGGGGATTTGATGGGGAGGTGAGGGGGGGGGAGGGAGGGGGCTGGAGGGGGAGGGAGGCATTGGGAAGTGTGAGACGGGAGTTGTGAAGCAGCGTACGGCAGTGCCTAGCTGTTGTGTGTTTTCCTTTCTTTCTTCCCTCGATTTCCAACAAAATATCCCACACCTGTTACCCCTTCTCCTTTTCCTACCAAACCTACCTACCAATCATTCCGACCAACATCCAATCAACCCTAACTCTCATCCCCTCGTCCTTCCTCCTCCCTCCCTCCCTCCTCCCCCCACACCGCCATCCCAGGTTCGCAAGTTCGCGGCGGATCAGTACACCGCAGCGGGCCTCCACCTGCACCCGGGGGTCACCCCCGTAAAGGTAAGGATGGTGTACGAATGGTGTGTGATTGGGAGCAGTGTTTGTTGGGGGTCTGGGGTGCACCGAGGGAGGGCAGGGACAGGATGGGGGAGAGGGCACGGGGGGCCGGATACACGGGGTTAGTGTGGCCGCTTCGCTGGTTTGGCACAGGGGGGGCCGCTCTGGGCAGATAGACGTGCAGGGGCTCTCTCGTATCTCTTCATCCAGAGGCGCGTCCAGAAGATTCACCACCCAAGCCAAACCAACCACATCCATCTACCACCCAAGCCAAATCCCGAACCCCACTCCTACCCATTGAAAGTAACAAAATCACTGTTTGCAACAACAACACGTATTACAAACCAATATCGCTGCTGCTGTCCCTGCCCCTGCCACTCCTCCTACAGGTGGTACGGCAGGATGACGGGCGGTTGACACTAACGGTGCAGCACGGCGGACCCACGGGTCACACGGAGGAGCTGCGGGACCTGGACCAGGTGCTCATGGCCACGGGTGAGTGCGTGGACGGGTGGGGACTTGTGCAACTATACTCTTCAGGGGGAGGGCCCAATGGGGGCCTTATAATTTCTTGGGTGAGATGGTTTCTAAGGGTCGTCGGGCGGGGGTGGAGGGGCAGGCCACATGCACGCGCGCAGCCAACCCCGCTCTCAACCCTAAGTCTCCTCTCCGCCCATCCCCCATCAACATCCCCCTTTCGCGCCCTCCCTATGCCGCCACACCCCTGCCCCGCCCTTGGCACCACGTCTCCTAACTGCTTTGCCCTAACCTGTGGCTTCCTGTGGTCCGGTATAATCTTTGACTCCCACCCCCCCCCAGGTCGCGTCCCCAACACCTCCGGCCTGGGTCTATCCGAGGCGGGTGTGGCGCTGGGCCCGCGGGGGCAGGTGCGGGTGGACGAGTTCTGTCGTACCGCAGTACCCTCCATCTGGGCGGTGGGGGACGTCATCGACCGCATCCAGCTGACCCCGGGTGAGGGCAGGGAGGAGGGCATGGAAGGCAGGGAAGAGGGAGGGAGGGCAGGGAGAGGGAGGGAGGGCATGGAAGAGGGAGGGAAGGCATGGAAGAGGGTGGGAGGCAAGTGGCAAGGGGAGGGAGGGCAGGGGGATGCGGGGAAGGGAGAGAGAGAGGGGAGAGCGGGGCAAGAGGGGGATGCATGTGTACCGCATGCGGGATTGCAAGGATTGTAAGCGGCCCGTCACCGGGTAACGGTGCTGGCCAGAGGCGGCAGGGTTGTGTCATGCTTTCCCACCACCCCAGGCTCCCCTTACCCTGTCCCCCCCTCTCCTTACGCTGTCCTGGTTGCTCGCCTGGGCTGAATATACCCAACCATTCCACCTCCCACTCCCCTCTGTCCACCTGATTCTCCCCCAGTTGCCCTGATGGAGGGGATGGCGGTGGCCAAGTCCATCGCCCTCAACCAGCCCTCCCAGCCCGACTACTGGGCCGTGCCCTCCGCCGTCTTCTCGCACCCCGAGATCGCAAGTGTGGTGGGTAACGGTGGTAGCGCAGGGCATTTAGCACAGCGGGGCTAGCTGCACCTTGAAGGCTTGCAACGAACGATGGGCTGCGGTATGCGGGCGGTGGTGCGCAGGGGGTGATACGAAGACTGCCTGTTTGCCTGCATGTATGGGCCCCGTGCGGGCATGTGCCTGATGCTGCTGCTGCTGCGTCTTGTGGTAAACAAAGCAAGCGGCTGAGCCGCGTAGTGCACTGGCCACACCGCACGGGTAGCTGCCGACCAACGAAAGCTGCACTGACCTCCGCATCCCAACCCAGCACGCGCCTCACCCGAAACCCCCCCTCCCCCCCCACCCGAAACCCCCCTTCCCCCCCATGCAACCCCTACTCACCCACTCCAGGGTTACACGGAGGAGGCGGCTGCTGAGGTGTACGGCGACCTGGACATTTACAGCACCTCCTTCCGACCCATGAAGAACACCATCAGCGGCAGCCCGCTGAGGACATTCATGAAGGTGGGGGGGAGCAGGGGGAGCGGGAAGGAAGGCTGTGGCCTTGCATGCAGTCGCTGGTTTGCAGGGGGTTCAGGGTCAGGGTCCGCATTGCTCTCGGGCTCAGTTCATCTGGTCCTCTGTCAACCCCTTGCTGCCCTCCCTTCCCCTGCCAACCCCCTCGCCGCCTACCGTATGTTTCCATCCGCCCTCCTCCCTCAACATACACACGCACACAGATCGTGGTGGACGCGGCGAGCCAGAAGGTGGTGGGCATGCACATGGTGGGCGCGGAGGCGGCGGAGATCATGCAGGTGTGTGGGGGGAGGGAGGGAGGGAGGAATACCGTAGACAGGTTCTGCCGCATGCCGCGTAACACCTACCTACATGTCTCACTCCTCCCGAAACCTCGCGCCCTGGGAAGTCGTTCCCCGCCACACCCGCCCTCCCTTCCCTGTCCTTCCTCCTCTCCACTGCATGGAAATGGCATTATTCCAGTGCTTCACTTCTCCTGTTTTATCCACCCCCCTGCTCATCTCCGCCCCCTCCCTTCCAGGGTTTCGCGGTCGCTGTGAAGCTGGGTGCCACCAAGGCCCAGATGGACAGTGTGGTGGGGATCCACCCCAGTGCGGCGGAGGAGGTGAGGGGGAGGGGGTGGCGGGACGTAACTGAGGAGGGTAGCAGAGGGGAAACTGACAAGGGGGGTGAGAAGAACCAACAAGGGGAGGTAGGTACCGGTATCGGCAGGCTGAGAGCCGGATGGGCACCTTACACACCGTGACGCGTCAAACAACCCAACGCAACCCAACGTGCGGTCCCGCCCTTGTCACGTTGGCGCAGCCCAACCCCACTTCCCGCACTCACCCTCGTCGCCCCCCCTCCCTCCCTCCCTCCCTCCCTCCCTCAGTTCGTGACCATGCGCTCGGTAACTCGCAAGGTGCGCAAGCCTGAGCCCGCTGCCGCCTCGTGAGAAAGTGGGGAGGTCTGGGAATGTGGGACAGGAGGGAGGAGAGATGAGGGAGGGAGTAGTTTGGGGTGAGTAAGGAGGGAAGGGGCGGTATGGGGGAGGTCTCTAAAGCAGCGCTGCCAGTGGGGCTGTGGAGTGTTGGGGCGGGGGACGGCGCAGACGGGGGGCGAGGGGCGCTACCGCATGAGGGGTGGGGCAGGGGTGGAAGGCACAGGCCGGGGTAGGGGCTTGTGGGAGTCCGTGACGGCACGGACACGGATATAAGAGGAGGGCTGAGTTGTGGTACCGCGTGTGCGGGAGGTAGCAGCTTGTAGCAGCTGTGGGGCAGCTGAGGAGTGAAGAGGGGTCGGCATGCATACAACGATACATGCTGACCCCTCTGCCGGGCGTAGATGTCTGGCTTGGGAGGCTGGCTGGGGCCTCCTCTCTTCTTTTGCTGCACAGCTTCTTGGGCCCAGAAGAGCTGGATTACCTTCCCGCCTCGTGGGTGCCTTAGCAAGGGTGGTAGTATAGAACCCGGACAGTAGTACCTCAATGTTCAAACTAACTTCCATCGTACGGCACTGCTATGTGTGGTCCAGTAGTAAGCTCTTGTTTCTTAGCTATGCCGTTCAGGCCAGGGGTTCTGGCTGCTTCCTATGTATCTCGTGCGGACAGAATGTTTGCGGCAGTTGCAGCGGCAATGCCAAGCTGGTTGTTGTTTTGGTGTTGGCTCTGAAGCTTCCGGTGGGTGACTGGGTGAATCACGATGTTACCCGTTGCGCTGCCCAACAGGGGTGCTGTAGTTACCGCAGGTGCTGATAGGCTCGTGTGTTGGTAGCAGCGGCATTTCAGGCTTTTTAGCTACCGGTATTCGCAATAACAAAGCCAGAGGAGCGTGAGTGCTTGGCCTGGACGTGTGTGGCTCTGTTGAGGAGGCCAACACAAGGAAGCCTGCCGGTAGCCTCGTAAAAACACGGCGCTGCCCGCAGCTGCCTAGTCATACTTGCAGTGTTATTAAGCCTGCCAAAGCCATCACCAGTAGTGAATTCCTAATGTTCAAAGCGCCTTATCCAAGCACAACATGCAATGCGGCTCCGCATGCAACCCACCGTCTGTGCAACCAGCATGCAACCCGCCTGAATAAAGCTCATCACCCGCCTCACCCGCCCTCCACCTACCCCTCCCTCCCACACCCGTCCCCCGCCTACCCCTCCATCCCACACCCGCCCCACCTACCCCCCCCCCCCATCATCATCACCATTCATCATCACCGCGGTCTCGATATCGGTAGGGCATACTAACCAACACTTTGTCTTGTGGCATCCTGCCGCGTCCTACCCCCATTGCTTTGCCCTAACATATGGCCTCGTATGGTTTGGTATGGTCTTTGACCCCCCGCATCCACCCCACCTAACCCGCACCCGCCCCCTACCTACCCCCTCCCGCCATCTACCCCTCCCCCCGCACCCGCCCCACCTACCCCTTCCCCCCACACCCGCCCCGCCTACCCCTCCCCCCGCACCACCCCACCTAACCCTCCCCTACACACCCGCCCCATCTACCCCACCTAACCCGCACCCGCCCCCTACCTACCCCCTCCCGCCCCCTACCTATCTACCCCCTCCCGCCCCCTACCTACCCCCTCCCGCGCCCTACCTACCCCCTCCCGCGCCCACCCCAACTACCCCTCCCTCCCTCCCGCACCCGCCCTCTACCTACCCGTCCCTATCACACCCGCACCCATCTACCTTTCCCCGCCGTCCGCCCCCATCTACCTTTTCCCGTCCTTTGTTTTCCCCTTCACATCTCCACCTAAGGCTTTCCATTCCCTTCTTCCCTATCCTGCTATAGTAGTGACCCCTTATGTATGGCATGGGCTGTCTTAAACTGTTACGGGGCTTCATTGTCACTGAAGGCTGCCGGTAAGACTGTCACCGTACAAGCTGGCTGCCGCTAACGATATCTGCGTACTAGCTGGCTGCTGGCGAGGGGGTCCTTGCGTTCTGTAGCTGTAGCTGTGTGTGCTGTGCTGTGTAGGCCCTACGAGGAGGAGGGAGACATCTGGCCTGACTGGGGTGGGTCGCTGAGGCGCATGTGGCCGACCCACCCCGTCCGCCCCCAAGCCGTGTTGTACATCAGGTGCTGGGCTGCGAGCGAGCTAGCTGGGAGCTGCTGGGCGCTGCAGAGGGGCCTGCCTGCCTCGGTGACATGAGGCGCAACATAGCAGGAAGTGCAATCAACCAACATAACTCGCCGCCTGTCATGCTCACAACACGTCAAGCCCATAGCATACGGTATCCATGAAACTCCAATGACTGGTACTACCGCCAAACGACCATCATCTACGCAGCATGACAAGCGGTGACACCAAACAAGTCTGCAACTACTGCATGCTTCTGACACACACCTCCCAACAGCTTAGTGTCCTCTAAACTCAAGTCGTTGCCGCTGTACCACAACAGTCAGATCCACGCAACCATCTACCTACTGCCCCAGCGTCAGCGCCCCATGAACAGCTAATCTTAAAACAAAACCCGTCGCCAACATGAAGTGGTAACAATGTCCGCACCAGGCACCTTCTGCCAAAAGGAAACGCCGTCAGCCCAACATCAACCCAGCAGCATGCAGCATGACAAGCACAGAAGCGACACTAGTAGCCGCTGCACCACCTACCCCAAATCCATCGCCAACCAGACAACGCAGCTAGGCACAACACTGGTGCGCCCACTAGCCAACGACCGCAAATCGCATGGAAGGGTTCACAACAGGCCCCGAGCTTGCCCACGCATGTAGAGCGACAACTGCGCCACCAAGCCAACTTACTCGTGATCCGTTAAGGACAACCGCTATGGCGGTTAGGCGGCGGAGGCAGGCTGGTGACGTAGGCGACGTCGGTCTTGAGGGGCCGGCGGCAACGTGATGAAGGGTGGAGGTAGCGGAGGCGGGCTTGGCGTTTATTGAAGATGCGGGTGCCGTCCTGTCATCCGCCCCCAAGTACGCCAGGTCCACGAAAGCTCTGGTGGCGGCGGAGGGGTCTCGACCCATGGCATGCGAAGGGGGAAGGAGAAAGGGAGGGGGGGTGATGGTGAGGAGGAGGGGTAGACATCAACACGGCATGAACGGCTGCAGGCGATACGAGGCGCCAAAGACAATGGATGCCGAAGCAACACAGGATAACCCAACCGCAGCCGCGCTCAAAACCATAGAGCACACCATGTACTCCGCGTGAGGGAAGCCCCCAACTTACGTGGAACAGCGATGTACCGAGACGGATGTGGCGCAAGGAGAGGTAGTCTATGGCGAAGGGACCGAAGCGGCTTGTTGGCTGAAGGATACGTCCTCGTTCCAGCTTGTTCCGCAGACAGGGCGGCCGCCTTGCTGGCCATGCATCTGCAGGGGGCAAGATAAGGTCGGATGTCAGTCACACAGCAGCGGCATCAGACCCACATCATATACTTGCAACCCCATAACTGGCATTACCCTTCATGAATACCATTCCGCAAAGCCCGTTGGGTACCGGCACATATTGATTGTACCCTTGCCGTGCATGTCCTTCTAGTCCTAGCTACGCAGCGCATGCTCCGGCTTCCACTAGTATGCCCATGCTCCCTAGGTAGCGCATGTCCGCAATACGCCGGGCTTTGCGGAATCCCGACCATCCTAATAGCTCAGAGGGCATGAACAGCCCATATGCGGATACGACCAATGCGACTTACCTCTACAGGGCCCTTGGAGCGGGGCAAGCATATGCATGTAGGCTGGGATCCATCTCCAGCTGTTGACTCATCCGCGTACTTGGGTCTCCTTGGATGGATCCTGAAGCTGCGGCCTGTAGACCCTATAAAGAAAGGGTCGAGGGAAAGCTGCGCAGCTCATTCGGGGACAACGCACCAGAGCCATTAGCATGTCTATCGGCGGGTGCCCGACGCGCCGCTATAAAATCCGAGCTACACGAAATTCTTCTTATTCTATAGATGCAGCTAATAAATGTAGTGTAAGTAAGCGTTATGGTCGAGGCCTAAAACTGCGGACGATAAATGGCGCCCAACCCGTCCTAACTAACCACTGTATTCACTTACTGTCTTTAGAAAGGGTTAACAATTGCAGGCAGACCTGTGGATTGCGAATAAAGTTGGCGAGTCTGCTTCGTAGCGGCCAAAGCTCAGCGTCCCCAACCTTTACAAGACGGCGGCATTTACTAAGCTATAGAGTTATAGCTTTTTCGGTAACTTACCTTAAGACATGCCGCTCAATATACGTCGGAGAGTTGGAGTTGTGGCCTTCACATCCCTAAAATGCCTTGAACCCAAGCCATAACCGCAATAAAAATAAGTGAATGGTTTTGTTGTAGTATAGATAATGCGTAGAGCGTGGCATCGCGAGTTTTCATGACTGGACTTTTGTTGCCGTATCCCCAGTAGCGCTGTAGGCCCAAAACCGGGAGGCCTAATGGAAGGTTACGGCAGTGGAATGATGACCAATGCAAAAGTGGATATAACTGGGGCGAACAACGTAATGAAGGCTACATTGTTTACATTTAAGCTCTAGCTAGCTAGGGAGGGAGCTAAGTACGGATGGCATCATTTGCCACATAACGAGGATGCACACATGTCGAAACAGTACCCAAACTGTTCTGCTTATATGTAGACGGACACACGTTGTTCACAAGCTAGGTAGTGTCACTGCCGGTGCGGACTTGGCGATTCCAATCGGCGCCATCTTAGCTTGGCGACCGTACCACCAGTTAAGCATAGACTTTAGCAAAGTCACATCCTTGTCGCCACCTAACACGATGCAACGCATTGCGATAACTAGCGAACCCTTGTGAGGCTTATGTCGTCAATCAGCGCCCATGTCCAAGGCAACATTCGCAGCAGAAGGACGAACCATACATAAAGCCGTACACATTGTAACCATTTATTACTTTTGGCGAAACGAATATGCGTTGCAAAATCGTTTACGCGTAGCCAACCCCACCAGTTACTTACCAACCCCATGCCCCTCTACACCGCCCCCAATCGCCCTCCACGCGTCCTGTCCTGCCGCGCTGCTACCCTCCGCCCTCTCCCCACACCCACCTCCTTCTCCACGCCTCCTCGCTGCTCCCCGGCCCGTCCTTCCTAATCTGCTTCTCCGATGTGGAACTGGTTGCTGCTGGTTCCGACCAACCCGCACACACCCTCCGCACGGTTCAATCCTCGTTTGTCCCCGCCATCCACCCATCCGTCCAACCATTCATCATCCGTACACCCGAATCCGGATGCTGATGGTTGTACGGCAGATGGGGCAGGCGCTCAACCTCTCCCCGCACTCCCCGCACGTCTGGTGTCCACACCCGAACACCAGCTCCTTGCGCCGCTCCCAGCACACGGGGCACTGCTGCTCGCGAGCGGCGGCAGCCTGAGGAGCGAGGGGCGGGGGAGGGGGGGAAGAGGAAACAACTAACTGACCGGGTGATAAGGCGTCATCATGGCTTGCAAGGTGAAGGGGGAAGCCAAGGTTGGGGTAGGGGGAGTACAGGGGAGGAGTACGACGGGCGGAGAGGTCAGGGAGAGGGAAGAGGGAAGAAGGAGAAGAGAGGACGCGGCAAATCGGCAGCGGACATGGGCAAGATAAGAGGGCATTCGGGGCAGAGTTGAAGATCCGATGCGGGTCGAAGCTAGTGAAAGGTCATAATCGTTAGCATCCAATCTACCTCGCATGCGCCCCATCACATAAGCCCCAGAAACTTCACTTGGCTACCACGCTCCCCTGCACACATACCGCACCCCCTTTCCCCTCCCAACCCACGTCCCCCGTACATGGGCCAGCTACACATGTTTACACCCCATGCTGAAGCCAACATGTCACACAGCTCGTCAGTTTCCTTCTCCCCCCACCTGCAGCTGCGCCGCCCGCACCCTGCCCAGCGCCGCCTCCATCTCCCCCGCCAGCCGCCCCAGCTCCTCCGGCCCCAGCCCAGCTAGCGCCCCCGCCTCACCCCGCATGCGCGACAGCTGGGACTGCAGGGAGGATACGGCCTGCAGGGGGAGAGAGAGAAGGGGAGAGGCGGATGGGAGGGGTGCGAGGGGAGGGGAGGGGTGCGAGGGGAGGGGAGGATGAAGAGGGGGGTGATGCGGCTCCGGTGATGAGGTGAGGTGGTTGTTCGCTGCATGCATGCATGCATGCGTAGGGGGCTGGTGGAGGGGTACCATGCGCCTGAGTGGGGCTTCTTGCCTTGCCGGAGCTCCTAGAGTGCAGTCCACGCGGTCTGCAGTCAACGCAAGCAAGCAACACCTCAAACAGTTCGCGGTTCCATTACCCTGCACCCGGGTGTCCTATCCCCCACCTGCTCCCCCGCCCTGCGCGAGTGTGCTAGCATGTCCAGCAGCCGCCCCACCTCCCCCTGCAGCTCCGACTGGGAGGCGCGGCAGGCGGACAGCTGGCACTGGGGAGGGGCGGGGAGGGAAGGGGCGCGGGAGGGGTAGGGAGGTGAGGCTAGTGAAGGTTGTGAAGGTGCGCCTTGGGGCCCATGAGGAGAACGCTTAGCGACCTGCAACAGAGCCCGAGAGTGGGCTCCATGCAAGGCTGTTTAACACGGGACGCACCGTGAATTGCCAGCAGGCGCAACACATCGGAGGGACAGCCGCGTCCACCACTACCACGAACACGCACCCTCCCACTTTTTTCTTGGTTGCCAGCCTCCTTACAACCAACACCCCTCACTCCCCCGGCCCCCCCCACCTGCAGCGCTTGCAGCTGCTCCGCCTGCTCCTCCCGCACCGCCCGACAGTCCGCCGCACCGCAGCTGCAACAACAGCTGCTGTTGCTGCTGCTGCACCCACTGCTGCAGCCGCTTTCCAAGCCGCTGCCGCTGTCAGTTCCTGCAACACCGCCGCCATGGGCATGACTACCGACACCACCACAACCAGCAGCAGCAGCAGGAGCAGCACCACCACCACCACCACCGGCAGCAGCAGCGTAGTCCAGAACAACCGTCATGGGTTCGTGTGGCTGCTGCGTTGCTGCAGGAATGGGTGTCGGTCGTGCCGGTGTGGTGTGGTGTGGGGATGCCCGGGCGTGAGGTGGTGCGGGTGTGCTCGTGTGCTCCACGGCAGCGAACGTGCTTACAGGGCAGGCGGGCACCGGCGCAGGCAGGCGGGCAACCTGGGGCCTGCTGCCACTGCTGTTGCTGCTGCCGGCAACACGCGGTGCTGCTGCCGCATCCCTGTCACCTTCAAGCCGCTCTTCTGTTGTTGCTCTTGCGCCGGTTGCCGTTGCCGACCCGGCTGCGGCAACCTGTGATGCCATCCGTGCCGGTGTTGCATGGGCAGCTGCCACCTTACCAGTAGCAGCAGCAGCAGCGCTAGCAGTCAGCGACCTCCGCGCCTCCATCCCAGAGCTCTGACCCAACACCTCCTGCTGTCCCCCTGACTCCCGGCCCTGTCGCCGCCGTTGCCGCTGCCCCGCCGCCTCCTCATGCGGCACGCCTCCTTGCCTGCTGGCTGACTCTGCCCCTGTTGCTCTCCGCCCTTGCAAAGACAACAGCGATGCGTCAAAGCCCTCCCCTAACCCCGCCTCTTCCACATCCCCACCCTCCTCTTCATCGCTTAGACCGGCAGCCAGCTCCGCCAACACTCCCTCATACCGTCGCTGCCGTCGCCGCAATCGCGCCAGGTGACCCATGGGACACTCGTGACCCCCAAGCTGCTCTGCGGCGCCTGCCGCACCAACTCCCGCTGCTGCTACTGCTCTCCTTCCAGCTGCCTGCCCCCTTCCTACATCCGCCGCCTCCGCAGCAGCAGCCCGGTAGTGCCTCCGCAGGTTGCTCCACATCAGCTGCAGCAGCAGCAGCAGCAGCTTCCGCCCGCCCGCCTGCACCCCGTGCTGGCAAGCGTGCTGCAGCCGCCCCAGCCGCTGCTCCACCGCACGCAGCTGCGACACCAGGTGCTCCACGCGTTCCCGCAGACCGGCTGGCAGCGCCGCCACGGCAGCAGCGTCCACCATGCATGCAGAGTGGGAGGCGTGGGACCCTGGTGGAGCCGGCGGGGTGCTGCTGCTGGTGGTGGCAGAACCCGTTCTTTCCTCTTCCCCCTCCTCTGCTGCCGCTGCTGCTGCCTCCTGTAGGCTCAACCGAATGGCCAGTGCCACCTGCGGATCATCACCGCCACCCTCCTCCTCTGCCCCGCCCCCTCCTCCAGCCTCCTTCACCGCCCCCTTCGCACCACTCCCTTCCACCGGCCGCTCCTCTTCCTGCTGCCGTGTCAGTTCCTGGCCGCCCCGTTGCTGCCGGCCCCCATGCGGCTCGCCCTCCTGCTGCCCCTCTTCCTCCCCCTCCTGCTGCTGCCCGCCGCCGCTATCCCCCAGCATCAGCACGCCCCACGCCGCCAGCCGCTCCCGCGTGTGGCGCCGCTGCGTGTGCAGGCGGGCCAGCGAGGCGGCCAGCTCGGAGGGGCCGGGGCAGCCCGCGTGGCGGCGGCAGTCGCCCAACTCCTCAGACAGAGCCTGAGCAGGGGAGCGGGGCATCCCGGGCATGGGGCACGGGCAGGAAGGGCAAGCAAGGGGTCGCTGGTAATGGTTTCCATGGGAGCGCATGTAAGATATTCTCAAATATTTCACCCCTCCTTGGTCCGCTCCCTCACCCCATGCGCCGCCTCACTTGCCAAGCGGACCCCTGCCTGCTTAGAGCCCCACCCGGGGGCACGCCCGGGCTTACCTGCATGACGCCCAGCGACTGCGTCAGGAAGCGCCGCAGCAGTCGCGTATTGCCGAGCAGCGAGTCACTTAGGGCCAACAAGCCACCACTGCTGCTGCTACCGCTGCCGCCGCTTGGCGGTGCTTCCGGGCTGCCACTGCCACCATGCGCCGGATCCCGCCATGCAAACTGGAGCAGCCCGACCTGAGAGAGGCAGGGGGAAGGACGGGAAAGCATGTGCGATGGTGTGCATGGTTTGCAATGCGTGGGCTATCCCATGTCTCGCGCCTAACCAACTACAATCTTTTGCTTGGTTAGCTTTTTCTCCTTGCCTCCTCCTGCGTCTACGCACCAGCTCAGATGGGTTCCCGCTGGCCGATAGTAGCGCCAGCAACTGTGCTGGGGGCATCACGCTTGGAGCCGTCGGGTGGGAGGCATTGTCCCACGATGTGGCTGCAGAGTTATGGTTGTAGGTTAAAGAGGAGTTTGTAACCAATGTGGATGGGTCGAAGGCGGAGAGGACTTGCTCCACGAAACCACAACGCTGGCAGCCGGCCAGGGCGCGCACCGCTGCAAGCACATCCGTGCGCAAGATAGCTGTTGCTGCTCGGCGCTGGTCCGCGGTCGGCAAGCCGACCAGGCAATTAATAGCAGCTTCATCCTCCATAGGTGAAATGGGTCCACGCGTGGCCAAGTCGACTGTGTCCTAAGATGGCAAAATGCTGGAGGTCAAGCTAGAGCAGCGCTCGACTGGGCACGGCGTTCAGAAGATGGCTCAGCAGCCCCTTTCGACGGAGTTTACTGTGGTAGTCTGTGTCTCAGCAGCACGCAAGGATTGTCCACCTGTTTGCTAAGGGTGAGAAATGTTGCAAGGGCCGCGCGTGTTAGTAGTTACAATAAGAGATTGAACCTGCTACATTGTCTTACAGTTTCGCTTTCCAGGGTAGTCCGCTGCACAGAGGACAGGTCTGTCGTCTGCGTATGGCTGTCCTTAGTTCGACAACTTAAAGTTTGCGTTACTTGATGTTGGGATGCAGGTTGCTCTGGAACAGTTGTTTGTGTCCCTGTATGTTGGTTGATGTAGCTCGTTTGCGTACCGACGTTTCCCGTGCCCTGGTCTACAGGCGCGTCCACGGGTGCTGGCGCGGAAGGTGGCCTATAATTCACCATTTCCGTGACGCCTCTCTTAAGAGGATAACTATAAAATTCCCTTTGCTTTCATACTTGTCATCTCCAACAATCGTGTGTCGAGGCACGCCGTACAATCTGGGATGGCGCATTGAGGAGCATCGAGGCAGGGCCTAAGCAGTATAATCCACGTCGGTGACGTAACTGCAAGCGTATTGGATAAGGAAGAAAGATAACGCATCCCGACAAGTAAGTCCGCGGGTCTTCCGAATCCATATACCCCTTCCACTCCATCGACCCACTTGCTCCTAGGCCACGTCCCTTTCCCCTCCTGCACGCAACTGCGGGGACTTCAGCAGTGCCCGAAATTGACCTTCCTGTAGGACGTCCTTCGAGTTGGGTCCACTAAACGATGTTTTTTTCAACCAGGGGCACACCACCTGCTTTTGTCTGAAGGCACAGCTCCTTTCATCACCCCTTTTCCCTAAGCTCAGCCCGCAACCCACACGCGTCCCTATCCTATTATTGACCTAGCGAACGCTCCCATCCAAACACACTACGCAAGATGGATGCTTTGAATGCCCCCATGCAACCCCCTTTACCCCTCATTCTGTTGCTGTTTGCAACCATCCGCATGCCAAGCAAGGACCAAGCACGATGGCATTGGCCTCTTGACTACCATGCATGCATCCCCAAGCCGTTGACTACCGGTACATACATCCCAAGCCGCTGTTTAAGACACAACTGGTGGCCGCTTCTGCAGATCGTCCCTGATGCTCATCAGCCACTCCAACTGCTGCACTCTCAGACGGCTGCTGTCAGCTGCCTCCGTTATTGCGGTGTCCCAGGCCTCCTGCACGACCTAGGGGGAGGAACGAGACAGGGAAACATGGCACGTCAGGGGCCCATTAAGGGCACGAAGAAGGAGTTGCATGGTGTGCTGCTGTGGCATGTCAGCATGGATGCGGTAGGAGACAGTGATGCTATGTGTCTCGCTCTTGCAGGTGTAAACTTCAGCACACCAGTAGCATTGTTACTGGAATAAGGGACGAGGCCAGCCGAATACGAGTCGATTGGCAACTTTACGCTCCTCTCACTGTGCAGTGTGACATGTGGACTAAGCATATAGACACAGCTCTGTCACATACATGTGCACGCAGCCCCGTCTGGCAATCCATCCGTCTGCCATCATAGAGCTCGTATGCATTTACTGTCACATTGGACCCGTACTTACACCCTACCCCATGCCACATACAGTCACGACAACCATACCTCCTGGAAAGCCTTCTGGAAAAGTGAGAAAGCCGTAGGAGACGTGCTAGCGGTTTCTGTCCAGTCCGGATATGGCCCCAAGGCTAGCACCTGTAGGGATCCAGACATGCCGGTGTCCTCCAGCAGCGCAGCAGTCTTGTTCACCACTTTCACCGCCTGGCCACCCTCGGACTTCATGATGAAGGCATTAGCGAGCGGTACAGCCACGCAGGAGTTGACAATGCGGGAGGTAATACCCGTTACTCTATCCTCGGAGGCAACTTGACGCAAGAAATCGCTGACCATGACGCTGCTCCTGCTGAGAAACGCTACAAGGGGACCTTCAAAGAGCAGCACGTCATCAGGGCATCGGGGTCGGAGGCCTCTGGCCCTTCGGAGTGCATCTATTAGTTTATTCCTTTGGTCGCTTGTGCTCATGCTTGTCTCACTCCTGTCAGCCATACCCTCACGCCTGCCCACTCCAGCTGCCGCTGTGACAGCTGCCGCCAATCGTGCCACTACAGCCCGCATAAGCTTTGCTGCTGGTGGCAGCACCCTCTGAGGCTGCACTGGCCCTTGTTCTTCTTCGCCAGCGGGCAGCTCCTGCTGCTGAGCAGCTCCTAGGGCAGCAGACGATGACACATCGCACACCTCAGCCGTTCCATGGGCAGTCAAGCTGCATGGCTTCACCACTGGCAACCGGAGATCGAGGACGGTACAGTGACTGTTATCGAGGTACATTGTAAGTCCAACCTGCTGCTGTGGCTCGCCTAGGACCTCCACTGCCTGCCGTACAGCAGCCAGGGAGGGAATCTCCTCTGAACAGGAGGGGTCATGGTGGAGGAACAGGGCCCTGAACTCCACTTGTGAAAAGAGCTGCATAAGCTCCCGCAACGACTCCAGATCCTCCTCTGACAGCAGCGTGCTGTGGTCCAGATTCAGCTTGTCGATGCTCAGGCGGCTCAGCTGCTTCTGCTGCTGGAGCGGATGTAGCTTCCAAGCTAGACCCTTCTTTACCGCAGATAGCACTCTGAAGAAGTCCCTGCAATAGCCATAGGATTGAGCCACGTCCAGCCCAGCAACATGACCGGCGCCAAGGTGGACGCTTAGTGTGTCTATCCTCACGCCACTGCAGGTGCTTTGCTCCAGCTGCAGGAGTTGTAGGGAGGGTGGAAGGCTGCACAGCAACGCCTGCAGCGCTTGAAGCCCGCCCGCACTGTTTCTCTGCCTGCCAAACGTGCAGTTGGTGAAAAGCAATTCCTGCAGTCCCTCCAGCCGCACCAGGGGCGCAAACGCGGTGGGGTCAGGGCAATCTTCCCCGCCCCTGCCCAAGTTGTTATGCACTTCCAGGCGCCTCAGACTGCTGTTGCTGCAGCCAGTCTGCGCCAGAGGTTCCAAGAACTTGATGGATTTGGCCTTGGGGAGGGTCAGCCGCTCCAGTCGCGGCAAAGAGGCAAGGTTTTCGAACATCTTCGAGGAATCTCTTAAGGTTGCATAATCCCACAGGTCATGCAAGGTATGCAGTTCCAACTCCCGCAATGCCGGTAGCCACTGAACCAGTGCCGTCACACCCGTCTCCAGGCTTGGCACGCCGTGGCTCTTCTCCAGCTCTACTGACAGGCGCGAAATGCCCCGCCTGGACTCCAAGGGTAGCTCAGCGATGGGCTGCACATACTGTGCCGCCAGGTCTGAAGATCGCGAGAAGTATGAGTATTTAAGTTTGATGGAGCTGCATCGGCGCCAGCGTACCAACGAAGGTACCTCCGTGCCTTGCTGTCGGTTCGTGATATGAACTTTCAGCGTAACATCTCGCACATTGCCATCGACAATACCGCACAGATCCCGACATGTCTGTCGGAAGCTTCTTAATGACTTCTGCTGTACCAGTGTATCAACGAATGCTTGCAGCGCGGGAACATCTAAGCTGCGCAACACATCGGCGATGGAGGTCTGCTGACAGCCGACGGACTCCAGCCCGTTTTCATCCATCGCAACAAAGCCTGCCTACAGCTAGTAACTGTAAAGGTGTTTTATTGGAAGATCGGGGGCATACAGTGGATATGGCGAATTAGACTATTACAACCGGTTTACTGACGCCCGCCCTATCCTCGTCAATACCCTAACATCAAACCACCGTCGGAAAACTTCACTTTCGGACATACGGAGAGAATGAAGCCTCCTTGCATTTACACGGCATGGATCACAGTACGGAATGGATCCAACAGCGCCAACCAAGCAGTGCCTGCATTTGGAAAGCATGTGGATATGCTTAAAGGGTTACTTGAACACTCGCCGAAGAGCATGTGAAGGGCCATTCAAAGGCATGCCGTGTCACCTGGTTGGGCGACATTTGCCGTAGGGAGGTGTCACCACGGGCGTGCTTGTCATAGACGTGCTGTTGGGAGTAAAGCTGTCAAGGAGATGCCATATCCCTTGGCACCGTGCATGCCGTACTGCATGCCTTGCAGCAGGTCCAAGTAGTCCGTAACCAACCATGTATGCATGCCCTCGTAGGCTGGACAGCATTATTCAGCGCTTAGGTTCGGTCACATGCAGCCATTGGATTACACGCTAACCAGAGCTACATTGCATGCGCATCCTGACATGCAATCAAAGGGGGGTTGACGGCGGCACGAAACCCCGAACCAGCACCCTGACACACTCCATTACACTACCACCGTCTGGTGCCCGCCCCTTGTGGCTAATCCTATACCGGTAGCAGCTATCCATAGGAAGCGAAACGCACATCAGGCGGGTTCCAAATGGTAGCTCGGTTGCTACCGCGGCTGCATATTGACTTCACGAGGTCACACGGCCACAAGCAAAGGGTACCGAGTAAAGAGCTAACGAACCCACATCCGCACCCATTACAGCACCCGTGCTGAAAAAAACCCTGACTCATCTGCAACAGGACCCCGGCCCCCCTCACACAGTACGACGCAACAGGGAGAGTACGGGTAATAACCGCTATCCTTGACATCCCTGTACCGTAGCATCGTAACTTTGTTCGCCCCCGAGCACAATTGCTTATGTAACTTGCAAGACCATGCAGCAACGAAAAGACCGTGCCTGGCTCTGCAAACGACTACTGCCGACACTGTCATAGACACTATCAAGGTAAAAAATAACAAAAGATTACAAACCCTGACAAGGTCACGTCTGCAGGACACACCTGCCTCCTCCAACCTGAGAGCTACGTGGGGCCCATGCATGCGGGGGTCAACACCCCGGGTCAACGCCGGGTCAACGCCGGGTCAACACGCACCCTGCTGCACCCAATACACACACTTGCAAATTGAGAAACCGAGCATCAGCAGCGAGCAACAGGGCCGCCGCCATCCTCCTGAGGCCCCATTAGGAGTGAAAGAAGAAGCCGCGCAGAACGAATGCTGGCAGCAGTAGTACTTTAAGAAAGAAGAAGCAAGGAATAGATTCCCCAAAACAAGCTCACGCACATGCCCTACTGGTGCCTGCCCACAAACACAATCAGGAAAGCCCTGAGACACCCTGGCTCCGTCAAACTGAGCAACCAAGCGCTTAGTAACCACAGCAGTTAACCACCAACAGCAGCAGCTTAAGACCACCAACCAACCAACTTAGAAGAACCAACACCTAATGAGCGAGCAAGGACTCTCAACGCATGATGAATTCACATCATCACAAGCAGACCACCAACCCTTACCTCCCACCACCACCCCACCACCACCTCTTACTTCCCACCCGGTCACCCCCTGGATTCCCATAACTTCTTTGCATGAATGAACGACCTGTCCTCGCTCTTTCACGGCCTCAACTAAAACCGGTGCCAGGTTTATGAAGCAAGGGAAACTTCCCCAGGCCCCACAAAGCAAGGAGTCAACCTGCCTCTGTCGTGCATACGCTGACAGCTGTGTGTATCGTGCTGACGTATGTACGACAGAATGACACCCAGAGGATTCCCAACAACCCTCTCTACATACCCTCCAACTGCTTTCCCTATTACCCTCCACCCGCTTCCGCCTCCTCCACCTCCCTCAAATCCCTGCCGTTCCCTCCTCCTCCCATCAGGCCCCCTCCTCCTCCTCCTCCCGCCCCCCCTCACGGCCCCCCTCCCTGCTCCTGGCCGCCGCCAGCCGCATCACGCACTCCCCCTGCAGCCGGTGCGCCAGCTGCGGCGGCGGCAGCAGCCCCAGCGTGTGCAGCGACATGACCAGATCCACCAGCGCCGCATCGGGCAGCGGGGCCAGGTCCACCGCCTGGTGCGGGATGGGAGGAGCAGGGGAGGAGGAGTGATAAGCGGCGGCCGGTGGGAAAGAAGGGTTGGCAGGTTTGAGAGAGCAGGCTTGGCTCCAAGGTTTGGTTCCGGTGAGCCCTAGGTCGGATTTCAGGCACACGCAAAACTTCTGGCTTTCTATAAAGACGTCTATAACTCTTTCTACCACCCTTTCCAACCCCCAAAATCTCTCATCCCACGGAACTTCCCCAACCCCTTTCCCCCCGCCCCCACGCGCACCAGGAGCCGCTCCAGCAGCGGCCCCTGCCAGCCAGGCGGCGGCGGCAGCTGCATCCAGGCGGCTGCATGCAGCAGCGCCTGTAGCGACTCAGGACCCGCGGAGCCCAGCTGGGAGCCGAATGAGGCGTAGGCGGCGGACTCCCAGGCGGCAGGGGGGACCACCTGCGGGAGGGAGCGGGAGGCGGAGAGGGCGGGAGGGGAGGTGGAGCGGGCGGGAGGGGAGGCAGGAGCGGGCGGGTGAGAGTGGGTGCGGTAGTGGGAGTGGGCGGGAAAGCGTGAGAGCGGCGGGTTAGTGGGGCTAGTCGTTGGTAGTGAGGTAGTTGGTTTCCTCTTCACCCATTGCTTTTCACCCCTCAGCTTCTCCTCAGTCGCCGGCCCCGCCCACCTGCAACTCCGCTAGGGCACACATCATGGTGGAGATCAGCTGCGGCGGCGCGGAGGGCAGCACGGCGAGGGAGGCGGACAGCAGGGGGGCGGGCAGCGGCGGAGCGGAAGAGGAGGAGGCGGTGGAGGAGGAGGAGGAGGAGAAGGAGGAGGAAGCAAAGGAAGCGGAGGTTGAGGGCGACGGAGGGCGGTTAGGACTGCGCCGCTGGTGATGAGGTGGTTGAGCGGAAGGAGAGGGGGCTGGGGTTGGGCGGCGGAGGTGGGAGAGGGCCCAGAAGACCTGGCGGGGGCGGGGAGGGGGCGGGGAGGTTGGGGGTGTGGGGGAGGGAGGTGGGAGACGGGGAGAGGAGTTATGGTTGGGAAGGCGCTTACCGAAGACGATGCAAAACAGTTGTGCACATGTACGGTATTGAAGACAGAAGTGCTAATGCAGCGGCGCTGTGGAGTCGTGCGGATGGGGCAGTGCCACAAACAGCCTTGGGAGCGGTTTTGAAACTGTTACGGATGACTATTGCCGGTACCGGTCTTTATACCGGAACCCAGCTCAACCGTAAACCCCAACGGAACCCCAAATCTACCTGCGCATAGTCCAGAGCAGACAATCCCGCTCCCTCAGGACCAACTGCAGCAGCAGCAGCAGGCGCAGTTGAGGGCGTGCTGCGACTCCTGCCGTTGCCGCCGCTACTGCTGCTGCTACAGCTACTGCCAGCCCCACTGACATCGCTTGAGTGGGCGCTGTATCCACTGCTGGAACTACCCTCGCCTCCTCCGCCCCTGCTGCTGGAAGTGCATTTGTTGGCGCCAGAAAAGCCTTGCGCATAATGCTTTCCTGTTACCCTTGCCTCCTCCGCCTGCTGCTGCTGCTGTCCTTCTCCATGCAGCTGTGCAAACCCCTCACTGCCAGCCACGACGTATGACAGCATCGCCTGGGGAGGGGTCAGGCGGGGAACCAAGTGTGCAAATGGATACAGCACTGATAAACAAGGCCCCCTTCCTGTGTGGCATGCGGCTTTTGCAGGATAGCCGAGGCCTCGGGTCCAGGTTGCCATGCCAAGGCCAAGGCCGGTATGCAATCGGCATGCCGGAACACGCACGTCGGGACAAACAGGTGTGACATACCGGTAGCGCGGTAGGGCAATTCCCTCAGCATTCATTCCCTCCTCACCTAATCTTACCGGTATAACGTCTTTACTTCGTCCAAACCCCTCCCTCCTACCCCCCCCCCCGAATGCGCTCACTGCATGAGTCGGGATATGGGATCGGGACTCGTTGTTTCACATATTTAATTTTTTCACCCCTCTCACCTGCGTCGTCTCCCGCCCCAGCGGCACTCCCAGCACCGCAGCAGCCCACAGCGCACTGCAAGCGCACCGCGCCTCCTCCACCCACTGCTGCTGCGCCCCCACAGCGGCCGCACCCTGCTGCTGTTGCTGCTGCTTCTGGTGTTGCTGTAACTGCAGAGTGCTGTCCTGGTGTGGCTGGCCGCTGGCGCTGTTGCCGCTGCTGCTGGTGCCGCTGCTGCACCAGTAGTAGCTACCCTCGTGATGCCCCACCGGGTGCCGCTGCTCTGGGCCGCAAGCACAGCAGCCCTGGGAGCCGCTCGTCCATGTTAGTGGCCCCGCTGCGAACGCCACCGCGCAGGCCGCCGCTGCCGCACTGCGCAGCAGCTCCGCCGAGTGGCTGCTGGCGGACTGAGCTGCTGCTGCGGGCGCCATCGCAGCGGCTGCTGCTCGGCCGTTACTGGCGCCAGCACTGTTGCCCCCCTCGTTAGCACCGTACCCGTGCACATGCGCAGTCCCATTCCCATTTCCGTTCCAAGCAGCAACATCATCCTCGGTGCGACCACCACCAGCACCGCCACCACCAGCATCACCGCTACCGGGAAACCCCAGGTTGCTGCCTCCTCCTCCCCAAGCAGCACCAGCAGCGGCACCACCATGTGGATGGCCATCCGAGCAGCACGGGCTCCCGAACAGGCTGGCCGCAGCCACCAGGCAGCTCGCGAGGCTGCGAGGACTGCAACCCACAGCAGCAGCGGCAGCTGCAGAGGCAGCAGCTGCTGCTGCTGCTCCTGCTGCAGGGTCACTCCAGCCACCGGCACTTCCGTCGACAGCCGAAGAAGCCCGAGTCGCTGCTGCAGCAGCAGCTGCTGCAGCTGCCGCCGCTAGATCCGCCGCCTCCTGCAGGCGTGCTGCCAGAGCGGCTTGCAGCTTCAGTCGCAGGGAGGGTCCGGGGCGGAAGGCGAGGCGGGTGAGGGCGGAGAGGGCCTTACGCAGCTGGTCTAGGTCCAGCGGCTCTTGGGGGAGAGGGGGAGCGGTAGCCTCAGGGTCCGGGAGGTCTGAGAGGGGAGCGGGCTCGGGGCCAGTGGGAGAGGGTGCGGGGTCCAAGGCTGCTGGCGAGGCGGAGGTGGAGGAGGAGGAGACGGAGGAGGGTGCACCGTCAAGGAACGGCTCCAAGTGGGCTGCCCAGGACTGCGGCAAAAGGGTGGGAACGAGGGCAGGGTACGGCAGCGCGGGGTACAGCAAAGCAGGGTAAGGAGCAGGAAGCCACAGCGTTCCTGATCACCGGAGGGAGGCAATGCAGCCCGCCTAGCGCACGCCTATCTCGCGTCCACCCCTCCTCCAACGCCCCACTCCTCCTCGGGCTACCGTTCACTCTGTCTGCGGTTCAGTGCGGCCTCCAATACCTCCAACACCCCACCCCCGCCCTCTACGGTTCGGGCCAGTAATTCCCGCGGCTCAGTTTACCTAACCCCCACCCTCAATACCCCACCCCCACCCCCACCCCCGCCACCTTCAGGAAGGCTCGGAACATGCCGCTGGGCTGCTGCCCGCGCTTCAGCCGCGCCGCTGCCCAAACGAGCGAGCAGAGCTGGGGGCCGGAGAAGTGCGGCATGCGGTCGATGCTGGCGCAGGCCAGGATGTCCTGTACAGGCAACGGGCGGCAGCATGGGGGAGAGGGACGGGACCGGCATGACGATGCGGCAGGTTAGGGTAAATGGTAGCGGGGGCAGTTTAGGAGAAGGTAGCAAGCACGGCAGGAGCTGTGGTTTTCGGCATTGTTGCGAACCAGCAAGTCCTGCTGCTGACTGTCTTCCTGCTGGTTACCGGTACCCCTAGCTCACCACAAACTTCTGCACTTCGGGCGAGGAACGCTCCGCTGGGTCGCGGCTGCTGATCTTGGCCTGTGTATAGGGGCAGAACGGGATAGGGTTAAAAGGAGGAGCAGACAGGTAAACAAAAGCGTGGTGTGTGTGCCTCCGCATCGATTGTTTCCACCCTCCCCACTGGACCGTGCTGGAGGGTGCGTGCGTGCGTTAAGGGTGGCTGCTGTGGGGAGGTGAGTGATGACCCTTGCAAGCACTTGTTCTCCCAGCACAGTTGCTGTGAGGTGGTGCCCAACCTGATGTGCAAAACTGTAGGTCTGGCTGCCCTTGGCTAGCTAGGGAAGTACACGGTACAGTACCCACCAGCCGAACCCATGCCACGGTCAAGTCCGTGGGACTGAAGTTTGTGCGGTGAGCGGCGAAGACCTCTTTTATTTGGGCGTAACTGCTGGCCAAAAGAATATGCTGGATGACAGGAGCAGAGCCCGCAGCGCCAGCGCAGGAGGAGTCGATGTGCGTTGGGCATGGGTTGATGTGAGGTACAGCCAGAGTCGAAGCCGCGCCGACGTGCGTACAGCTGCGCCTTTCTCGACGGTACTGTAGAAGAATCTACATTTGGCCGGAGCACGGTTGGTGCGACAAGGAAGGCGAAGGGTCGAGGGATGCAAGCCCAGAAAGTCCTATCATGCGCGACCGAGCCAAAAGCGTTTTCCTTCCTCACCGTCCTGTGATGCGGACAGCCACGTGCAGCAGCATCTCTGAGGTGCCGGGTCCTTAACATTATTGGACCTAACGCTCACAACAGCTATCCTCGCAAACGTTACCCAAAGAAGCCTAGGGAAACATGTACAGCTAGCAAAACCAAAAAATGACCATTATTATGGACGCAGCAGGTAAATTGCCTGGGGTTGTCATGACGCGCATCTATCTGCTGGCGACGCACGACACTAGCTACCGTCCTGGCGAAGACAAAGCCCTTACTTAAAAGAAAATGATATAAAGCTATAAAAAGGTTTTGATATTGGAGCTGTCTACCGATACTTAAGTCCTCATGCAGTGACCAACTGCAGTCCAAGCGCGAACGGTTAGGGTTGCAATTTGGCAATTTGGCAAACGTTCACAGCGGGTATAATAGGCATAATTTCATATTAGCTGGCCTTGGTACAGTCTTTAAGTACTTGCTGTGCCGTCCTTCGCCCTTACTATCTAGGCCATGCCTGGTGTACGCATGTCCGTTCAGTCTACATGGGGGAGCACATGTACACCCCGAAACCATTCATACTTACGGATGGATGAATAAGCGTGGCAAAGTTGTTCCCGCGCCGCCAACCCCACCAGTCCGCACAGTTACTGATCACCCCCATGCCCCTCTACACCGCCGCCAATCACCCTCCACACGCCCTGTCCTGCCGCGCTGCTACCCTCCGCCCTCTCCCCACACCCACCTCCTTCTCCACGCCCCCTTGCTGCTCCCCGGCCCGTGTTGTCCTTCCTGATCTGCTTCCCCAATGTGGAAGCGCCGCTGGTTGCTGCTGGCGCTGACCTGCCCGCACAACCCCCTCCCGCCCGGTTGAATCCTCGTTTGTCCCCGGGGGAGTTGAACCCCCTAGCCGCCAAGCCTTCACAGGCAGCAGCCGCAGCACGCAAGGGACAATCACTGACAGCACCTGAGCCGCATCCCCCACGTGCGCACCGAGCCGCCCTGCCTAGGTCTCCAGCCCAACACGCCGCCCAGGCATCCCCCCGCCCCGCTGCACGGGCCACCCTCCAGCCGTGCTCCCTCCCTTACCCGGCAACCACATTCAGGCGCGCACTCTCCTGCTCCCTTCAGAGAGAGGCCCAGCATTCCCCATCTTGGGCCCTCAAAGAGCACCAATGCACCCGCCCCTACTCACCCTCAGCAAGCAAGCCCACCCACGGGTGCCGTTTGCCCCAGGAGGACGGGGTGGTGAAGGGCTGGGGGGAGGGGGGCGAAGGAGGCTGGGGGTCGGATGGATTAAGCTAGGAGGAGGGGGAGGAAGAGAGGCGGGCTTGGAGGCGCGGGACTTGGGGGCAATGGCCTTATGGACTGCTCCAGATCGCTGCTCCCGCCAAGGGACTGCATGCATGGCGCCAGGAGACCGCACGGGGAGCACGCGTTCTGGAGCCTGGGTCCCTAGAAAATTCTGTCGGTGTAATCTGCCTTGCAAAGCGAGAGAATTATGGGTGCAAAGCGCCCGTACGTGGGCCACACTGGACAGGACCGGTTCCTGGTTCACGCGCCAATTACCTCCTGCATATGTGATTTCCTTGAAGGGAATCCTGATGTTGGGGTCCAGTTCTTCACCGCCGCGCCATGCTGCAGACTGCAAAGATGTCGTGGCCAGCTGCTGCTCATGCGTGGCGAAGTCCTGTGCAAGCTAGGAGTGCTAGTTCTGGTGTAGTGTCACCTCGTCTGGTGCGTCCGTCATAGTCTTAAGTCCGTTACATTGCACAATAAAATCATGAGGTCGTGCTAGCCCTTCTACCTATTCCTCCCTCCCGCCCCCTACCTACCCTTCCCCCCAAACCCGCCCCCACCTACCCCGCACCCTCCCACACCCCGCAACCACCCCACCCTCCCCACCTACCCCCACATACCCAGCACCCTCCCACACCCCCCCGCACCCGCCCCACCCTCCCACACCCGCCCGCACTTACCCAGCACCCACGCCCCTCCCTCTGACACCCGCCCCCACCTACTTTTCCCCGCCTTCGGCCCCCACCTACCCTTCTCGTCCTTCGTATCCCCTACCTTTACGAACTCTACCTACGACTTTCCATTCCCTTCTTCCGTATCTTGCTATAGTAGTGACCCCCTTATGTATAGCAAAGGCTGTGTTACAAAGGCAACAGCTGTTGGCACAAACTGGTACGGGGCTTCATTGTCACTAAAGGCTGCCGGTAAGGCTGTCGCCGTACAAGCTAGCTGCCGCTAACAACCTCAGCGTACTAGCTGGCTGTTGGTGAGGGGGTCCTTGCGTTCTGTAGCTGTAGCTGAGTGTGCTGTGCTGTGTAGGCAGTACGAGGAGGAGGGAGACATCTGGCCTGACTGGGGTGGGTCGCTGAGGCGCATGCGGCCGACCCACCCCGTCCGCCCCCAAGCCGTGTTGTACATCAGGTGCTGGGCTGCGAGCGAGCTAGCTGGGAGCTGCTGGGCGCTGCAGAGGGGTCCGCCTGCCTCGGCGGCATGAGGCGCAACATAGCAGGAAATGCAATCAACCAACATAACTCACCGCCTGTCACAACACATCAAGCCCACAGCATATCCATGAAACCCCATGAGCGGCGCTACCGCCAAAAGACCATCCCCTACGCAGCATGACAAGCGGTAGGACACCAGCATACAAGTCTGCAACCCCTGCATTCCCCCACCTCCCGTCTTCACAGGAGTCTCTCCTGCAGCCCTTCAGCACCCTAAACCCCTCGCATTGCTGACTACCTCATGCTTCTGACACAAACCTCCCAACAGCCTAGTGTCCTCTTCACTGAGGTCGGTGCTGCTGCCACAACAGTCGAATCCACGCAACCGGCTACCAATTGCCCTAGCCTCTGTCAGCGTCATCATGTCGCCTAATATACAGCTTATCTCGCCGCAAATCCGTTGCAAAAACCGTCGCCAACAAGAAGTGGTAACAATGTCGGCACCAGAGACACCTCTCAGCCAAATGGAAACGCCGTCAGCCCAACATCAACCCAGCAGCATGCAGCATGACAAGCACAGCAGCGACACTAGTAGCCGCTGCACCACCTACCCCAAATCCATCGCCAACCAGACAGCGCAGCTAGGTGCAACAACACTGGCGCGCCCACTACCCAACGACCGCAAATCGCATGGAAGCGTACACAAAAGGCCCCGAGCTTGCCCATGCAGGTAGAGTAACAACTGCACCACCAACGCCAACTTACTCTTGACCCGTGAAAAAGAACCGCTATGGCGGTTAGGCGGCGGAGGCGGGCTGGTGACGTAGGCGACGTCGGTCTTGAGGGGCCGGCGGCAACACGATGAAGGGTGGAGGTAGCGGAGTCGGGCTTGGCGTGGTGTTCATTGAAGATGCGGGTGCCGTCCTGTCATCCGCCCCCAAGTACGCCAGGTCGACGAAAGCTGTGGTTGCGGCGGAGGGGTCTCGACCCATGGCATGCGAAGGGGGAGGGAGAAAGGGAGGGGGGGTGATGGTGAGGAGGAGGGGTAGAATGCGGTGGACATCAACACAACATGAACGACTGCAGGCGGTACGAGGCGCCAAAGACAATGGATGCCAAAGCAACACAGGGCAACCCAACCGCAGCCGCGCTCAAAACCCTAAAGCACACCGATGGCACACCGCGTGAGGCAAGTCCCCAAACTTACGTGGAACAGCAATGTACCGAGACGGATGTGGCGCAAGGAGAGGTAGTCTATGGCGAAGGGGCCGAAGCGGCTTGTTGGCTGGAGGATACGTCGTCGTTCCAACTCGTTCCGCAGACAGGGCGCTCGCCTTGCTGGCCATGCATCTGCAGGAGGCAGGATAAGGTCGTATGTCAGTCACACAGCAGCGCCATTATACCCACATTATATACTTGCAACCCCATAACTGGCGTCACCCCTCATGATGATTTCCGCAAAGCCCGTTGGGTACTGGCACCTATGTAATGTACACAGGCGAAAGGGGAGCACGTCATTCGGAGGCGGATGAGTGAGGTCAGAACCAGCAGCTGCAGCAGCAGAAAACGCAGGCCATCATAGGTAATGCAAGCGGACAAGTCGGCCACATACAGGAGTTCAGGAGCTTTCCAACGAGAGATTCAGGGAGCTTTCAGGCGCCGGCTACGGAACCAGAGGGCGAGATCGCCTGTCGGACAGTACGAAAGGCCTGACACGGCGCGGGAGGAGACAAAAGCCCCGCAGTCCTTCTGCTCCAATCATAAAGTTTTGGTCATACTAACTTTGTCATTAAACAAATAACTTTGCCAATACACAAACGAGTAAAAGCAAAACATAAACAGTCTTCAGACGCTTTCTTGTCTTAAGGAGGCACCATGCAGGCGGAGCAACAGCTGGATGCAGGGAAGGCTCTCAAGAGGCGTGCGTCTGCATCGCCTCTTCCCGAGGAGGACCCGGCGGAGTGCGCGGTGGACTTCCAGCCGCCGCCCAAGCAGCACAGCAAGTCGCGGGCCGCTGCCCGACGGACAGTGTCCGCTCGGAAGAGCGCTGTGGGCCAAATTGCCAAGGGCCTTCGTGGTCAGCGCTTGGCTAAGGCGACGATGGCGCCTTCTGACCAAGATCTGGATCGCGGTGGTATGGGACAGGAAGTCAATGTTCGACCCAGAGGCCTACCTGATGCAGATCAGGCAGGCAGCAGGAGCTTCCGGCGCGGCCGCAGCCCCGAGAGACCCACGGGTCGCTTGGCAGCCGGCATCGGCACACGAGAACTGGTGGGAGGCCAATGTGAGCCGGTCGATGCAGCACAGTGGCAGCGACAAGGGCGGCCTAGACAAGGCAGTGGAGCAGCTGGAGGGGCTAATAGACTTCACGGGCGGCAGAGTGGAACCTTTCACTCTAACGGCTCCGGGCGCCCGCGGGCGGAACAGCGCCGCCAGTGCCAACGGCGCGCCTGCGGTAACCGCCGACGCCAGCTGACTGCCGCCGTTGTTGCCGGCTGCTGCCTCCGCTCCCGCGCCTGGGCCGAGCCCCATCGTTAGAGTGAAAGGTTCCACTCTGCCGCCCGTGAAGTCTATTAGCCCCTCCAGCTGTTCCACTGCCTTGTCTAGGCCGCCCTTGTCGCTGCCACTGTGCTGCATCGACCGGCTCACATTGGCCTCCCACCAGTTCTCGTGTGCCGATGCCGGCTGCCAAGCGACCCGTGGGTCTCTCGGGGCTGCGGCCGCGCCGGAAGCTACTGCTGCCTGCCTGATCTGCATCAGGTAGGCCTCTGGGTCGAACATTGACTTCCTATCCCATACCACCGCGATCCAGATCTTGGTCAGAAGGCGCCACCGTCGCCTTAGCCAAGCGCTGACCACGAAGGCCCTTGGCAATTTGGCCCACAGCGCTCTTCCGAGCGGACACTGTCCGTCGGGCGCGACTTGCTGCGCTGCTTGGGCGGTGGCTGGAAGTCCGCCGCGCACTCCGCCGGGTCCTCCTCGGGAAGAGGCGATGCAGACGCACGCCTCTTGAGAGCCTCCCTTGCATCCAGGTGTTGCTCCGCCTGCATGGCGACCGTACCACCAGTTAAGCATAGACTTTAGGAAAGTTACACCCTTGTCGCCACCCAACACGATGCAACGCAGTGCGACAACTAGTGACTCCTGGTGAGGCTTATGTCGTCAATCAGCCGCTAGCGCCCATGTCCATGGCAACATCCGCAGCAGAAGGACGCATACATTGCAAACACATTGCAACCATTCATGCTTACGGAGTGGTAGACTGGGATTGCAAACATGTAGTGATGGCCACGTCATGTCACACGGGCTGCAGAGTTCAGGTTAAGTTGCCCATACCGTACGGAAGCGTCAGCTCGCGCCTCAGTTGAGGAACATGCCGGAGGTTCATGTGTACAACGGTAATGTGTGCAAGGGCCAGCGCGTTTGTGATAAGATTACAGGTATGCCTTACTTGTTCACATAAAGCATGTTTCTTAAGATTATGAGTTCTGTCACAGAACAAGGCATGTGGAGCAGACACCAGGATGAACCAGGTCGCGCAGTACGTAACTGCAGCCACGCCAGTCAAACATGGTTTGACTTTAATCAAACACAGGAGAGTCAAACCCTGACAAGGGAGGGACGCACACATGCACAGACGAGTAGTTGGGTGGGTGCGATGCACGGTCCAAGAGGCTCAATCGTTCTAAACATCACAAGCGCAACCATAGCTCAGTGGTCGCGTCTATTCGCACGCCGAGACTGCAATGCATATGCTCTGTTCCAAACAGCTCCCCGCAGTACTCGCCCGCCCACACAAACCCGTACCAAAACCAGTTCCCAAACCAGGTAACCGCTATCCACCGGTGTGCGGGCAACCTACAAGCATGCACAAACTATAAAGTCCGCCATCGCGCTTTGTCGATGCCAACGCTGCCACTGAGTGGCCCGAATGCCCCCGCGTCTTAGCAAGCATGATATTATACAATAATCACCGCGCGGCATGCATGCTGCTTTACCTGCATGCAACCACCCCCCATCACTTACGGGTAACAACCCGTCAGCAGCAGCTACTGCAATAGCACTAGCAACATTGCTTCATCGTCTTCTCTTCTTTCGGCCGTTTGACAGGACCTAACCTCCGGCCGTCATGAAGCAACATGCCCCCTTCACTAAGATGGGCACATAGCCGCATGCCGTACATTGGTGCCCGTGCTTCGGAGAGCGCTCCGTGCCGTAACGTGCCAGGATCAAGAGTATTGATATGGTTCATGCAACGCCCCTTCACCAATCGTACAGCATAGGGTCCATGAGGAGTAATACGGAATCATGCAAAACACATACGATAACAGACAAACAAACAGGAAACAGGACCACACAATGCCACCTCAGAGCCCCGCCATCACAACACAGCAACACCGGCACATGCCAGCTGCACCACATACCGGTACACGTTCAAACTAGTGCACGCATGCACATAACTAAACTACACAAACCAAACAAGTGGACACATTTCAAAGCACAAAGTCCTCCTATGAAATGGAGGTTCTCAGCCGCCGCTCCCACTGCCAACAGCCCCGGGCACGGCCCCCTCTCATCTACCTGCCCCCTCCAACCACAGCAGCCCCCCTCCCCTTCTCCTGCTTCTCCCCCTCTCCCTCCAACTGCAGCCTCAACCTCATGCGCGGGTAGCTGCTCGCCTCATTCCACTCCAACGGCCGGCCCGCCTCCTGCCACTCAACCCACCCGGGACTCAAACCCACCACATGCCCGATCAGAATCAGCGTGGGCGTGCGCAGGCCCGCTGCCGCCGCAAGGCCATGCAGTTCGGAAACCGTGCCGTACACCACCCGGCGCTGCGGCGTGGTTCCCCGCTCCACGGCCACTGCGGGTGTGTCTGGGGAGGCTCCGGCGGCAAGCAGGTGCTGCGTGAGGGTGGCGAGCGTCTGATCGGGAGGGGGCGGGAGGGAGGGGAGGGACGATGGGTGGGTATTGGAGTTGACATGGGTTAGCAAGCATGCCAGCCTGCAGGGGATGCCGCATCTGCCTCTGACACCTCAACAGCTTTCAGCTGCCTGTGCGCAGAGATGTTTGACGGTGCCAACCACTAGTCCCTAGCGCCCAGCTCCAATGCCGACTCCAACGCCCTTCCCCTCCTCACCACCCCTCCCTCCTCCCTCCCTCCCCACCCCACCCCACCTGCAGCCCCATGGATAGCCGGCTACCATGTTTGCACCCCATGTCACCCAGCCTGGCCACACCGCAAGCCCGTTGCCTCCTCCCCCCCTCTGTCCCCCACCTGCAGCCCCATGTACACGATGAGGGTGGTGTGCGGGTCCGCGGCCAGCTGGAACGCCTCCTCCAGCGCCTCCTCGCCGCCCTCCCGCGAGTGGCCCGTCAGGAAGCGCGCAGAGGTGGCCACCCCGCGGTGCGTGAGGGGGATGCCCAGCTCCGCGCAGATGCCTGGGAGACAGGGTGACAGGGGTTGAGGGTGACAGGCAAGGTGAGGTGAGGTGAGGCAGGCAGGAAGCGCGTTGTGATGAGTGGTGGGTGAGAGGAAGAGCGAGGAGTGACTGCATGGCGTGCTGTGTGATCCCCCTAGTACCTACCTAGCAGGTATAGCACCCAATTCCCCTCCTCGCTATCCCCTCCGCTATCACTTGCTCAGCCCACCGCCTCCCAGCTCCCCCCAGGCCCCACCTGCCGCCGCTGTGATGCCGGGCACGCAGTGCACCCGGATGCCGTGCGAGGTGAGGTACTGCACCTCCTCCCCGCCCCGACCGAACACGTAGGGGTCGCCGCCCTTGAGACGGACCACCAGCGCGCCTGGGGGCATGGGCGGGGGTGGGAGGAGGTGACTAGGGGTGTGCGGTTGAGGGAGGAGGCATTTCAGGGCTTCTGTGCTGATCTCTCCCGACCCGTCATCTGGGTCATCGTCCGATCCTCGCGGTTCAGCTGGTCGAGGCTGTCCCAACCCAAATACGGCACTCCCAGTGGATGATATGAACATTACGTCGGCGCTTCGCGGTGCGACTGGCTGTCCAAGCACACCACCACATGTTCTAACAGTCGATCCTCCTCAGTCATATCCATCCACCCCTTTGCCCTGTCTATCTTTGCTGCTTTGCATCACCATATACATGCACCACGCACGTTTTCTTAACACACACCTGCACCTGCACAGCAGGTTTTGCACACGCACCTGCTTCCGCAAACGCCAGCAGCAGCTCGTGTATCTCCTCCTGCCGCCGCGTGTGGTAGCCCGCGGTCTTGCCCACATACACCATGCGCGCGCCGGGGTTCACCAGCTGCAAGATCTCGTCTGACACGAGTCTGTCGTACAGTACGACATCCGCCGTGGCCATGAGCTGTGCGGCGCGGAGGGTGAGGAGCCCCGGGTCGCCGGGACCGGTGCCCACGAGGAAGACCTCGCCTGGTGTGGCGGAAGGGCCTGGGAGAGGTGTGTGGGAAGGGGAGGAAGGAAGGGGGGACGAGAGGGAGTCGGCGGTAAGAAACTTGGGAGAGTGCGACTGCCGTACGGACAAGCGGGAGGTGCAGAGTGGTTGGGTTGTGGAGGTACTTGAGGAAGTGTTAGCCGGGAGGACAGCAAGGTCCCATGCGTGAGTTACTGGCATGTTTCTGAGGCATCGGATTGGCTTCGGAAGCGAGAGGGGAAATGGGCTGTGAAGGGCTTGCGGGCATACCTTGGCTGCCCTGTCGGTACGCATGAAGGAAAGTCTCCAGCTCAAGGACATTGCAGTCCTTCAAGCGATCCGGATGATGCCCATCAGCAATACTGCGAGAAACCACAGACTGTCGTGATGCTACACGGCTGCTGGGTTGGGGATTTATGCAGCCAGTCGCCGCCAGTCCGCTCCGAGCGTGATGGCAGTTGCGAACAAATTGGAACGCAAGTATCGGAGCCCTGCCGCTGGTACTAGCAGAGCCACTTGTGCACACAGCTTGACCAGCAGGGCGCTGGTGCATGCTGGCAAGCATCGTCATGTTACGTTGCGATGTTATGTAAGTCGGCACGGATGAGTGAAAAGCCACCTAACCGCTGATACAGGCTAAATGAAGTTTGTAGTTGATGCTATATAGACTGTAACACACCCACAGGCCGTTACGGAGCAAAGAGGTATTTGGCGGAAGTTGTCGGCGGAGGCCAGCACGTGGGAGGCCACGCCAGGTCACCTACAAGTCTTTACTTATTTCAAATGCTCACACAAAGACATTGTCCATATTATTTAAGAGGTGCATGGCGTAGACCCTCCAGCGTATACGACGGCCCCATGTGAAGGGTTCAATGGGCCGAGCATGAAAGAGGTTGGCCGAGCAACCCTTGCAGCCTTCACCCACGTAACGCTCAAGTCGCTCACGCATTACTTATTACCCATGTAAATTGATTGCGGGTCCTGGTCGGCTTCAAACCGCTCCAGCCATTGTTCCCGTGCGCGGTTTACAATCTCTAGGGCTACAAAGCGCGAGCTCTACTTCACCCAGCAACCTGCCCTGCAAAGACATGTGCCATACCACAGACATTTCTTAGTTATCCTTACGCGTTGGAGGACTAGTATGTTAGTAAGGTTAGACATATGCCCATGACGAAAGTCATCGTAATCCACCATTTCTTTCCCGCCCATGCCTGCCGAAAGCTGTGATCATGCCAACTCGCTCGTTCGTCTAGCTTTTAGGGTGCGCGCTGCAGAGACCACCTCACCCTACCCGCCGTCCCTGTCTTATCGGCCTTGCCGTTGTGGAATGCTCGGTACCAGGGCCTCATCTTAACTACCTTCGTGGACAACATCTGTGGTTCATGGTGCAGGGTGGTTGCTTCAATGAGCGAGAAGTGGTAGGGGCAGTAAAGGGGAGCTCATGCACGCTTCCTTGTGGGAGCAAGTGTGGAGTGCCGGTGCGGCGCGAAGCCCTTGAAGCTCCCTCGCACGGACTGACAGCGCACCACAACGCAGACGTATAGCTTGGATGCGTATAGCAAATGGTCGAATTCTGCAAAGCGCAACTCATGCTGCCCCATGACAAATTTCAAGTGAAGAGTGAAGACCGGTTACACGCCAAGCCTTTGCATTGCAGCGTTACGGGTGATCCCAGATACTCTCAGCAGCCTACCTGCCGCATCCATTTGCCGTACGTGTTGTGTACTGCAGTCTACCGTACCGTTGTACAACAGTTACGAGATCCCGAGGACACCCACCACGAAACAAAGCCATCCTGCCTGCTGCACCCTCCGCCTTTCAGAACTGCCGTAGCAGCTCTTCCCCGCATTCGTAATCTTCCTTACACTAGCAAGGAACCTATGTGACTGCTCTCCCTACAGACTGTTCGTTGCCGCCTCAGCCCGGGCCAACCACTTGCAATTCGTACGAGTGCTTGCATCGTAGAGCCCGCTGAGCGGCAATGGATTATCGCCCAAAGCGCACCGCCTTATCACTTACCTACCCGCTCGTTTCAGCCACTCCTACCCGTGACATTCTCTTCACGATATCCAGACCAACTGCCTGAAACAAAGCACCCCACACTAGCATGGCACGTAACAAAGTGCATATCGTATGCCGTTGAGGTCCCTTCTCCTCCTCCCCCTGCTCCCAACACCGCCACCACCACCACCACCAGCACCTCCCAACACGCCTCACGCTGTCTAGCAGCAACCCATGTCAGGCAGCAACCCAGATCCAACGTGCCAAACCCGCACAAGTTCCCGGTTGACCCACATGGGCTCGCTGCTGTTGCTGCTGCGCCACACCAGCACTACCATAGCCCACCAACAACCCAAGACACAGCCTCCAACTGTGTTATGGGACCCTGCCCCGCCGGAGTGCGGTACACACTCCCGTTGCAGGGAGGCCCCATCGGGACAGGGGGCGGCATGACCAAGGAGCCCAGCGCACCGCCTGCCTCCCAAGACGGGAATGATATAGAAGAAACTTTCTACACCTCCGCGCAACCCTCTAATGCACAGCTACGGCCTTCTTTCCATGCAACGGTTGCTGCGGCGTGCTGTCCTGCGCTGCTCCTTAGAACGGCGACCTGCCCGACTTCTTCTTGCCCAGCATCATGTCCTTGGCCTCGTTCACCTTGGCCGCGATGTAGCTGCTGCCGCCTGCATGGGGTGGGGCGGGGGACAGGTACCGGTATGTGATTGTGCTCCTTCCTGCCACTTCCACTCCAGCCGCCCCCCAGAACCATAGCCCCGTGCAGGTTCGGTATCTCGACTACCCTGAACACAATGCCTGGTCCAGCCACCATGCTGCGTCCCTCTCCCTTCCCCTCTCCTTCTACCCCCTCCCCCTTTTAGCATGCGCCCCCCTACCCTCCCTCCCCGCCCGTTACCCCCTGCTTCCCTACCCGAGTCCGGGTGGTTGGCCACCATGATGCGGCGGTGCGCATCCTTAATTCGGTCCTCGCCCGCAGACTCGCGCACGCCCAGGATAAGGGACGCCTCGCGCTTAGTCATCTCGGGCAAAAAGCCGCCCTGGCCATGAAAGGAAGGGAGGGGCGAATGAGAAGCAGCGGGGAAGGAATGAGCAGGGGGGACCAAGACGCCTTGCAAAACCCCACAGAGTAGTAATGTGGCAAGCTGGGCTGGCAGCGTGAAAGGCGATGTGGTGTCAGGCGTACCTTATAGAACTGCTTTCCAACGTTTCCAAAGGGGCTAGGCGACGACATGAACTTCACGTAGGATTGCACCATCTGCTTGCCCACGAACGCCGCAGCGGCCACCCCGAGGCCCGCCATCAAGGGGGAGGCCTGTGATGTGGGATAGAAGGTGCGAGTGATATGCTGTACAAAGATGCTCCGGATTAAAGAATACGCAACGATTGCAACGCTTGATGGGAGGAACGACTGACGAAGACGCGCATCCGGACCAGAGTCTAATCGGAAAGTCATAAAATGGATACGTTCTTATTAGCGATGTGTCTAAGAAAGCAGCCGGGAGCCGGTAGCTGCAACTGTCGAAAGTGTGCGCCGGCGGTGATTACTGACCATGGCTCCTAGCAGAATAGCCTCCGATAAGTCTTTCCGCTGTTGTCGCTAGGCTACACGAGCAGCAAAAAGGTGCCTCGAGCTCTCTTGAGCTACGACGGCCGGCGCCGGTGTGCTAATAACTGCTTCTAGAGAGTGCGCAGAGCGGAAAGGAACCTCCTAAGGCGCAAAACAGTTACAAGCTGTTTAGGTGTAAGACAGAGGCAAATACCAATCACAGTCTGCGTTCAGGCTTAAGTCGGTAAGGGTCGGTTTGCAGGATTCAACAGCAAAAGACGGCTAGTAGCTGATGCAAGGTACGCTATGTGATGCAAAATAGTATAGGGCTTAGAAAGTGGTTATGCGATGGTTCCTGTCAAGCAATGATGGGAATGCGATGGGACGAGCATTGTAGTGAGGCGCCGTGGCGCCCGTGGGCCTACTTTACTTTTGCTCAGATTACTGCATTATTGATGGGTTTCCACGGACATAACCCATAGTGTCGCAGGTGCTGGGACTACCTGCGACCTTCACGGCTTGGGCATCCGACAATCCCCAAGTCTGGTAAAAAGCCTGCTACCACGATCTCGGTGAGTTGCAAGCCACCCAGAAGATCATGGGGTCCTAGAGCTTACTTACGACTTGCAGTTTGCATAATGTGTTCAGCTGGTGAGCAAAGTCCGCACCTCATTGCAATGCCTAGCAGTAATCATGCGGACGATATCCATATGACCATGGTCATACAGCTGACACCTCGCAGATATTGCTGATTTACTCCGCGCAGACCTTTTACAAAACACCGCTTTGCAGGCGTTCGATCTGGGCACATTCCGGCAAGAAAGCGTCGCGAGAAGGATGAGCAACACAGGACGACCTCCGTCAGGAGGAGGGAGGGGTTTGGGTTCAACTGGGTGGGCTGGAGGACTTCCATTCACTGGGACTGCGACTTGGAGCGCAACGCCTGGCGTTCCTGCGGGTAAGGGACGTATTTGCCGTCGTCACCCAGGTTGCTGGACTACATGATGCATGGATACCTGTGCGTTGAGATTCTTAATGAAGGCATCAAGGATCACACGGGAAGGATGGTCCAAATGCCACCAGAGCTGCCTTTCTCCTGTTTTCGGGTATTCGTCTGTAGGCCTGCTTCTCTTGTCAAAGTAAAGGTCTCCGGCGTTTTCAGCAACATAGGAACTGTGTGAAGCGCGGAACCAATAGCAGCCTTGAGCATGCTCGTTAGCACGCATTTCACTTGAAGGGCCCCTTACAGCTTACGACCGTCTCGTGATCAACTATACATTTATTTATTAATCGCCTCCGGTTGGCATGCAGGCGCCGGTGTGAACGTCGGCTGGGGCAACATTCCTTTGGGCACGGATGCTACCAATCCATTGCTCAACGCTGCAGCTCTCATCGGCGGAGCTTCCACTTTTCCATCTGGCAGCACCGGCGCCCTTCCTACGGCCACGCCCTTCACCAACTCCGGAGCCGCTGTGTCCACTGGTCTCGGCCAACAGCGCCAGGCCATCAGCAACCCCAACAACAACGGTGCCGCCGGTTCCGGAGCCGCCCCCGCCCATCCAAAGCACCCCCAGTCGCAACCGCTTTCACAGCCCCAGACCCAACCCAAACCACAGTCACACGCAGCGGCCCCTCCTGCAGCTAGCGGCAGCAACACCGGTGCTCCTGCTCCTCCTGCTTCGGCGCAGCTGGCATCACGGCCTAACCCCGGGGCTGCCGGCACTTCCGGCTTGCGCGGCCCGCAGCCTGCCCCCCAGCACTCTGCTCAGCCGCAGCCGCAGCCCCAGTCTGCCACGAATACAGCCATGGCTGCTGCTGGCATGCCTGGCTTCAACCCTGCCGGCATGGGCGGCGGGGGCGGCGGCAGCGGCTCCGGCGGCATCAATCTGGGGGCCATGGGAGCCATGGGGGCTCTAATGAGCATGGGTGCAATGGCGGATCCTGCGAACTTGGCGCGATTGGAGGCCTGGCTTGCGACAGCAGCGCCGGGCATGCTGCAGGGAGGGGCCCTGGGGGCTGCGGTAGAGGCTGCTCAGAAACAGCAGCAGCAACAGCAGCAGCACCCACAGCAAACACAGCAGCAGCCTCAGCAGCCGCAGCCGTTGCCGTCGGATCCTTTTGATCAGAGCGCCGGTAACAGGCAGGTTTGGGGCGCTGGAACGCCGACGGCGGCGCAGGGTGCAGCTTCGGCGGCGGCGCTGACGGCTGCAGCCTCGGCGGCGGCAACACCGTTCAGCCCGGGCGGTATTGCTGGAGCACCGCAGCTGGTGGGGCAACATGCGCAGCAGCAGCTGGTAAAGCAGCAACAACAGCAGCATCAATACCCGTCGCAGCAGCAGCAACAACAGCAGCAGCCAACATACAATGCCGGCCAGCAGCAGTGGGCCAACTACGCAGCCGCTCCTCAGCCTCAACAGCAGCAACAGCAGCAACCGCAGTCGCCGCAGGTGCAGCAGCACATGCAGAACGCTGCCCAACTGCAGCAGCCGCAGCCGCAGCAGCAACAGCAGCAGCCTCCCCAGCAGCAGCCGCAGCAGCAGCCTATGCCGGTCGGGGAGCCGCCCGCTGCCGCTGCCGAGCTGCCCGAGCTGCCTGCTGCCGCCAGCAACGCGCCCTTCGAGGTCCCCTGGGAGTACCTGGATACGGAGGTGGGTGGGGACAGGCGGGGACAGGGACAGGGACAGAGGCGGGGTCGTATCACATGTGGATACGGAGGTGGGTGGGGACAGGGACAGAGACAGGGACAGAGGCGGGGTCGTATCACATGTGGATGCGGTAGGTAGGGACAGGGACGTGTTACAGGGACCGGGACTGGGGCACTCTCACGGAGGCTACTGGAGTGAGTGAAGGTAGAAGGAAACTAAATGGGGAGGTTAAAGGCGTGGACTCCAAAACCTTTCCGCTCAACCCAGCCGGCTAACCCAACCCGGCCGCCTGCCACTCCCCTTCCCACAGGGCCACGTGCAGGGTCCCTTCCCCGTGCGCAACATGTTCGACTGGTGGTATGCCGGTGAGCCGCAGCATGCCGAGTAGACGAGCCTTAACTGTACCCGGACCCCGGCTACGAGCTACGTTGCTGCGCTCATTCTGCTGCACATTTCACACGCACCTCTTATGTGTTTTGCTCGGCTGGAAGACGTGTTTGCTCCCTGCCTACCTACTCCCGCCCTGCCGCCCTCCCCCCCACTTGGTCTTGTTACCCTTGTGTTCTCCCCCCCCCCCGGCGCGCACCCGCCCCACCCTGCAGGCCACTTCGACGGCGGCGTGTACGTGCGCTGCGTGGGCGGCTACTGGACCCAGATCGGCCTGGTCATGCGGGACATCAATCGCGTGCTGGGCGGCCCGCCGCTGCCCAAGCAAACCCGCACCTCCTCTTCTGGTGCTGCTGGGGCTGCTGTGGGTGCTACAGCGGGTGCTGGCTCTGCTGCGGGGGCCCCTGGCGCTTCGGCTCGCGGGGCCGGCCCTTCCGCGGGTGTTTCTGGGCAGCAGGTGGTGTGGGGGGAGGAGGGTTGTTAGTGGGGTGCTGGAGCGCGATTGAGGTGGCAAGGCGTTTAGGTTACGAGGTATCTTTGCTAGCTGGATATTGAAAGGCAATACCAGGCCCGTCAGTTTATCGATTAACACAGGAATACCCGGCCCCACCCGGGCCTGAAGCGCTCCTTTGCTACCCACTACCCTTCTTCCACTGCCCTCTTACCCATCACCGCCCTTCCTCCACTACCCTCCCTGCCACCCCCCAGGCACCCGGCGGCGCAGCTCCCTCCGCCACGCCGTCCTCTCCTGCTGCTGCTGCCGGCGGCGGCGGTCCCTCCCTGGGCGGTCCCACCAGCAGCGGCGAGGCGGCCGACCCGGCCCGACTGGAGGACGCGGTGGGGCTGTTCTTCTGCGACAACTCGCCCGAGCTGCGCTGGTTCTACTTGGACGACCAGGGAGTGGTGCAGGTGGGGGGTGGGGGGGGGGTGAGGGGGGGGTAAAGAGGAGGAAACGGGCTCATGGGCTGTACGGCAAGGCTTCACCATGGGGCCCAAGGGGGAAAGTGGGAGCTGAGGGGAGTGTGGGGGAGACGCATGTGCTCCATGGGCAGTGTGGGAGCAGGCGGGATGGCTGGGTGGTACACCCGAGGTGGATCCCCACCTCCACAGCACCTCCCACAACTCTCTTCTCACACGACTCCTCTCCTTTCCACCCCGGCTGTTCTCACGTTCCCTGCCCTGCTTCCATGCCTCACCGCTCGGCTCCTCTCCTCCTCTCCTCCCTCCACTGCAGGGTCCCTTCCTCCCCGCGCGCATGGTGGGCTGGTTCAAGCTGGGTCGCCTGCGCACCGACGTGCGGGTGGCGGGTGTGCTGCTGCCGGGCGTGGGACAGCAGGACAGACAGGACAGGCCGCCCGTGGTTCCGGAGCAACTGGCGGCGGCGGCGACGGGCCGTGGCGGCGGTGACCCATGGTTCATCACATTTGGGACGCTGTTGGATGCAGTGGGCTCGCACCGGAAGTATCAGCCGCTGCGAATGGTGCGTGTGGTTGTGTGTTTGGGTTGGTCATGGGTTGGGCGTGGGTTTGGGCACCACATGCAGTGGAGCGCGATACACGCATGTGCGTGCGTGTGTGCCGTACAGCAGTGGCGGGTCGGCGTCAAGCTCGCTGGCTGCGGCCTTACCGGTTTTTATGGGCCTTTCATTTCTTCCCAGCCCATTCCTGTCCCATGAACTGTCTGGCGATATTATGCCTTCTGATACATCCTGACGTTGTTCTTACCAGCGTTTGCAATTGTTTAAGGGCCGCCGGAATAGTTGAGGCCTGTCATCGCTCTCCGCCTAACCTTTCCTTGTCGCGTCTCTGGATTTAATCACCGCAGGAGGACCTCCGACGGGGTCGTCCGCCCCCCTCCTGGTCGGCACTTGGGCACGGAGGCGGCGGCGGCGGTGGCGGCGGCCCGCCCACCGGCGGCGCAGGCGCACGCAACGTGCCACCTCCTCCCGCACGCCACGGAGCTCAGGACGCACGGATGGATCACGGATATGACAGGTAAGCACACGGGGTTGTTGGGGTGCTTACCCTTTGGGCATGACCTTCTGCTGGATTCGGTAACTACCCGAACACTGCTAGCACCTCCACCATCCTGTAGCCGACAGCGCTACCCTTCGCACGGCACTCACGCTACGGTCCACTCGCCTTCCCCTTACCATTCGTACGCACTCGCACGGCGGCCTTCCGCTTGCAGGGATGGCCGACGCGGGGACTACCGCGGCCATGGTACGGCAGCCGACGGACCCCCTGTACGGCAGTACCCGGGCGGCCCCGGCGGCCAGCCGGGTCCCGCTGGGCCCCGAGACGGCAGGTACGGGCCGCGCGGAGGCGACTTTGACCAACGCGGCGGCGCCGGCGGTGGTTTCGGAGCTCCTCGCGACGGCAGCGGCATCGGCGCCGGCCGTAACGCTCCAGGGGGCCCGGGTGGCCCGGGCATGCGAGATGGGCGCGACGCGGGCAGGGATGCGTTGCGTGGACCGCCGGGCCGTTCGGCTCAGGAGATCGTGGACGCGGCACGCCAGCGGCGGGGCGAGGGCCCGCCCGTGGGTGTCGGCGGCGGCGGTGGACGTGGTGATGCTACGGCGCCGTTACGTGAGGCGGCGGCTGGCCGCGGCGGCGGTGTGGCGGCCGCTGCTGCCCCTCGCGGTGCCGCCACCGCTGCCGGTGCTGCTGCTGAGGACGCGGGCCGGGGCCGTCGCGGAGGGGAGCCCCCCGCGGGCCCGGCCGGTCGTGCCGCTGCGAGCACCCAGCAGCAGCAGCCACAGCGGGAGCGGCAGGGCGCGTCGGAGCTGGCGCGGAAGGACAGCTTGGGTGCCGGAGCCAAGGAGTCGCAGCAGCAGCAACAACGTAGCGGCGCCGCCGCTCCTGGTGCCACGGCCGCCGCCGCCGCGCCGCGCCGCGACAAGGCTGGGCCGCCCGCAAATGCATTCGACGCCGCCGCCGCTGCTGCTGCTGGTGGCAGCCGCGGCCCCAACGCTGCCGGAGCCGCTCGGCGCGGCGACGCTGCCAGCGGCCGCGACCGTGAGCCCGCTCCGTTTGCGACTGGTGGCGGCACCAAGGCCGCGGTTTCGGAGACCGCCAAGGCGGCCGTGGCTCGGATGCTAACGGGCGGCAGCGGCGCCTCCGGCGGCAGGGCTTCCGCCGCTGCTGCTGCGGCGGCGGCAGCGACCAAGGCTATGAGCGGCGTTATCGGCTCTGGCAGCGGCGGCAGCGGCAGTGCTACACCGGTGGCGCCGGCGGCGGCGGCGGCGGCTGATAAGCAACAACAACAACCGCAGCAGCAGCAGCAGCCGTCCGACAGCGGTGTTGCGGTGTCGCTCCGTGCCGGGCAGTCTGGCGGCGTCAAGCTGAAGATTACCATGCCATCAGCTGCACCTGCACCTGCTGCCGCCGCTGCGGAGCAAGGTGCCAAGGGAGGGAAGGGCAGCGGAAGCGGCAGCCGTTCTGCTAAGGCTTCAGAGGCGCCCGCCGCCGCGCCTGCTCCGGCGCCGACGCGGGCAGTCCCGGCAGCAGCAGCAGCCGGTGAAGCGAGCGGCAGTAAGGGCAAGGCGATCAAGAGCGCTGCTGTGGCTGCTGCTCCCGCCGCCGCCAGAGAGGGGAAGAAGCAAGATGGCGCAACACTGAAGCAGCAGCAGGAGCAGGAGGGTGTGACACTGTCCCTCCGGACGGACGAGGCGGGGGATGTGAAGGTTAGCATCCGGAAGCAAGGCGACGCAGCGCAGCAGGTGCAGCCGCAACCGCAATCCACGCAGCCCCAGCCTCAACAGCAGCCGGCAAAGGGTGTGGCTCTGTCTCTCAGGACGGACGAGGCGGGGGATGTGAAGGTTAGCATCCGGAAGCAAGGTGACGCAGTGCAACAGCAGCCGCCAAAACCGCAATCTGCACGGCCCCAGCCCCAGCCTCAGTCCCAGTCTCAGCCCCAGCCTCAGCCCCAGCCTCAGCAGCAGCCGGCAAAGGGTGTGGCTCTGTCTCTCAGGACGGACGAGGCGGGAGCCGTCAGGGTCAGCATCCGAAAGCAAGATGACCCAGTGCAGCAGCAGCAGCCGCAGACCGCTCAGCCCCAGACTCAGCAGCAGCCAGCAAATTGTGTGGCTCTGTCGCTCCGAACGGACGAGGCGGGGGATGTTAAGATCAGCATTCGAGCTCGCGGCAGTGGCGCTGCGGAGGGGGCAGCGGCCCCCTCCAGCCGCCGCGGCGATGTTGGCGAGGTAGGCGGCAGTCGCCCGGTTCCCACGGCACATCCGCTGCTGCTGAATGACTTTGAAGCTTAATGGCGGTGGGCAAACCGGAGACGGGAGCCAGGAATGCTCCAGAAGGGGGCCAGTCAATGGAGGAAGAGTCCTTTCTGTGGCTTTTCGTTGTTGGAACCTTTTCCCAAGGGATTGCATGGCGGTACGGGCAGACGCTGCTTACTCGGAAGCTCGCCGCCTGTTGTGGCGGTTGCGAAGATAGTTTGTTTACTTCGCGGCAGGCAGCAGCACAGGCAGCCTGGGTTGGTAGGCGACGAGAAAACGCGTGCGCGTGGAGAATCGTGCATACTTGTAGCAGTAGTAGCATTTTCCTGTTGCAGCAGTAGAACCGGAACCCTTTTAGCTGGAAAGTAGTATTGTTTCTTTTTTCCGTTGTGCACTTTTGTTCACCGGAAACATCAACGAGGAGGGAGATCTACACACAAGCCGGATCCAGTTAGGGCTTGTGACACGGACGAAGGCGGGGTGAAATGCGTGCGTTGCTTTTCTGTGGTTTGGTAGCTCTTGTCATGCCCAAACGTGTAGATTTGTAGTTACATTGCTTTTAGTCCCATTCCTGTAGCTTTGTGGAAGGTCACGATGTTTTGAGTGGCGGCAGGCGGTTGCCGAGAGCGGTAGGGGCGATGATTTGGCTGGATCTGCACGGTTTGCTTTTTACGGATTGTTTTACGGACTGCCTAGATGCTGTACGGAAGGACTGAATGCAAACAAGCTCAGAGCTGCAACCTTCCGGCAGGTGGGGTTGCGGATGCTGAAGAAACCTGCTCTGCTAGCTTTGCATGGGCCCTGCTTTCGGCCACTTCCTTCCGGACACGTCAGCTGCTGGTCTACATGGGGCGGTAGGCCCCTGCGTGAGGTAGTCTTTTCATAGCCGGCTTGCCTAACGTGCAGTAGGTTGCGGCTCTCTGCCTCTTAATCCTGGTGCGGCATTCTGTATCCTTGTCAGGGCCGTGGCGCGGATTGCCTAGTTGCTCTAGGAAAGTACAGATACCGGTAGAAGAAGAAACATCCGGTATGCGTGTAGAGCCGTCTAAGTTGCTGGACAAGATGCGAGGAGTCCAAGGCGGCACCTGCGCTGGCGGTGCGTCCGCCGCAGGAGATCTATGTTGCCTTCTTTGCTGTTAGCACTTGGTTGGCAATTACAACACCGTACGACGAAAAGACGTGCCGACCGTTTACTGCTATGTAGCGCTGGGTGCTGGGTCTCAAGCGCCAAGCGCCCTTACTGCACAGAAAGCGCGGAAGATGTTTGGGGTGTTGATTGGACGTCGGTTATGAAGACATGCAGGTGCCCACGGGCTACCTACTACACCGCTTAAATGGGCCGGTGCTGCCGAGTGCTCCTTGTCGTTGTAACAATCAGCCCTGTTCGTGCATGCTGCACTGTAGGCCTGACGGTGGGCAGACTGCTGGCTAGTTGTATCTTCGCACTTGGCTTAGCAGCAAACTTACTGAACCGGAGGCTTACTAGGCATTCCTAGGCACGTAGCTAGCGAATTACGAGCGTAGAGTGTGCTCGGGTATCACCAGCGGGTGTTGCTTGGCCGCAAAGCGCGCCAGTTCAGGTACAGGCAAAGTTGCAAAGCGACAACCCTCCCACGTCATCGCATCGCGTTGCTGTCAGCCGCCGGGGCTACACGTCACAGGAATCGAACTTGCATGGCCAGCATCAAGGTCAACACGTCACACGGAGCCATTCTTGCTTGTCTTGTCAGGTCCAGCTGCAAAGCTGTTCAGTTGCAAAGCTATGTAGCGGTTGCAGGAACCAATGTTGTGGTAAGAGGAACCTAACCAATACGAATGAAGGCTACCCGGTACGCAATTCTCTAATGTATGTCATTCTAGACGGCGTTCGCCGTAGTTAATCAGGGTGCATAATAGTATGCAGCTTCTCAAGTTTGCATGCAATAAAAAATTGTCCGCAACACCGAGCGTAGGGCGCTCGGTTTTGGAGAGGTACGACACTCTTACTACTGTCTACTGTGCTGGGCAACGCAGACAATAAAAAAGCTCATGGGAGAACACCTGCAGTGTCCTACTGCATACAGAGCACAATCATGACAAGCAGGGCTGTCGTAGTCTTGTTGTCAACTTTGTTGACCTTGCAATCGGTTTTCTCATTGACCACGGCCAGACGGGCAAATGAGTTCAAGGCACGGTCGGACCTTGCTTTTCGAGCCCGGCGTTTGTCAGAAGCGCTCTCCGCTAGACCGGACCCTGCAATTGCAGCAGCCTACATGGACCGAATTCTACAAGACAGTGCTGCTGCCCGTGCATCCCTTTGTGCAAATTTCACAAAGCGCAGCCGAACAGCGATCATCTTCGTGTTTTACGAGCGCGCTGACGTAGTCCGCGCTTCCTTGCCGGCCTTGCTCAAGAGCGAGGGTTTAAGCGACTTCGACCTTTTCCTATCCCAAGACGGTGGCAGCGACTATCAGCTGGACGTCCCTGTACCGATCAACATTAACCACTGCTACATTCGGCACGCAGCCAACCTCTGCACAGGCATTCACCACCATTTCGTCAAGAGCTTTGCGTTTGACACCATGGGTTATGACCGGCTGATCGTGGTGGAGGAGGACAACATAGTACACCCCCAGGCAATCCAGGTATGTGGCTCATTTCTCTTGTCAATTTGGGTTCGGTGTTGCGCTCCTCGCTAAAAAGGGGTGGCTGGGTGTTGTGGGGAAGCAGTGTATGGTGGAACCTTGACCTGTCGCCAACGTACGGTTCAGGTATGCTATAATGCATCGCTTTTCTTGCCTTCCACCCGCAGATGCTGAACAGCATGCTCGAGTTAGCAGCCGCAGCTCCTGAGATCGGTCTTGTAAGCATTACGGAGCTGGACGTATCCATGATGGTCGACACGGAAAAGCACAACCCAGCCGTGCTTCGCGTTGGGCTGCGGACCGGCCATCTGTGGGTATTTGGAATGGATAAGACGCGTTACAAAGCTATTGCTGGGCACCTGCGAGATTATTATGACGTCATCAAGGGACATGACTACAGTATGAAGCACGAGCCGCCACTGCGCGACGCCATCACTGCTCTTCGGGAGGCTAAGGGCATGCAGTCTGTCGACAATGTCCTTTCCCAGGACGTCTTCTTCATCAACTCTTTGCAAAAGGAGGGATTCTCCAAGCGCCTGCTGACACTTATGCGTCTCCTCGAGCCAGTGGGTTACGTTGGGCTGCACTTCCGCCAATCATCCGACAAGTTTTATGCGACGTACGGCAGGGGCATGTACGACGGAAATATTACGTCAAAGCCGTACGAGATTACTGCTGACGCCGCGTCCGTTGAGGAGCTTCAGCACTACTGTCGGCAACGGCTGATTTGGTTTTACCGGCACTACGTGGGCCGTGACTCGCCTGCGGCTTATAGGGTCATTTCAAATGCGTTGGTCAAGGGCGAGTTGAACGGGCATGAAGTCTTGCGGCGCATCCTGACCTCTGACGAGCACATGAGGCGGGCAAAGGTAGCAATGACGACGCTTGGGAAACGTTTCAAATAGTTCGCAGGGGCATCCGGGAAAGGGCAGGAGTAGGCTAGGTGGCGCAGCAGGTGCATGCAAGTTGGGTGGGTTAGTGGATAGAAGGCCAAATTATTTCAATGAGCATGCATCGCATGCAATGTCAGGGAGGAGTGTTGTTTGTGCAGGTCTTGCATGCGGACTCCTGGCCGGCACGGCGGCAGGCGATGTTGGGCTCGCCGTACATGTTCTCAGCAGGAGCTTTAGGTTAGGGTGCAGGGCGTTGGGAGCGCTTTGTCATGCGAATGGACGGCAGGGAGCGGGCAAGTAGTGGGCATGTATGAGCTATGTAGCAGGCTGGCAAACATGCAGCAGGAGCAAACGAGCAGGCGTACGGCATGGGTGTGTCTTCATGATACCAGCATGCCACTGTCATGTCATTGGTGTGATGCGTATTGTATATCGGTATTCTCGTAGGCTGGGACTGATGCCTTGACGTGGTAACAGCGTCACACCCCTCGCGGACATTCATCGGAGGGGCAACTTGCACTTAATGTGTTTCGTAATGAGCGGCAAAATGAGGAGAGTGTTGTTTGGAGGCAGCCTTCCTAGACCCCTAGAAGGGCATTAAACAACCATTGCTTGTAACATGCCGCTGGCATATTGCATCATATGCATCATATGTGGTGCAGCCTGCAGCGTGCATTCCTACGAGGAAGATCGCACAAAGGTCGCACCCGCCCACTCATGCATCACCCCGTTAACCCATGCGCAGGCCAGCCACTTGCCAAGTAACTCGCCACATAAGGTGCCCTCAAACGGCAGTGGTTAGTGTTGCTGTGCCAGCAGGTGCATTCAACTGCATTGCTACTGCTGTGGCGGCGGTGAGAGCGCGCAATAGTTGCACCCCGCCCAGTGTTAAAGTTTAAGTTAGGCTAGGGCAGCCGACCCGGCAAGGCACCAGCGTAGCAGCAGTTCAGTGTGTGCAGGGGTTTGTTTGATGACTGCGCTCCAGGGACGGCAGCATGAGGCTGGTTAGGAGGATGTGGGAAGTTGTGTGCCAGTGGTGGTAACCGAGCAGCAGTGCAATCGGGTGATGCTGTGGTTGACTGCTGAAAGCAAACCCTCAATTTTAAGTGTTCGGCGGATAGGCCGGTGGATGTAGGCTTGGCGGGCAATGGCAGCCTGACTGACATACAGGAAATGGTAGGTCTGAGCTGGCTCGCTATCCCGTCTTTCGTTCGGAACCACCTCCCTAGAACCAAATGTATGGCATGAATCGTGGTCTAACTGTATGCAAATTGGCGAAACGGGCGCGCACACGGCCGCAGCTTCCCAGGCATGGGCATGTGCAAGTAAGTATGACACACGCCCATGCTTATTGCAGATCCATGGGCGCACAGAAAGTGCGCAGTTGGCAGCTTTCTTCACAGCCGGTTGTTGAGGACATGCTACGTGCGCGGACCCAACTGACGACTAGGCATGTTGACCAGCGGACAGAGGGGGCTTGCATGCAGTGGCATCCTAGTCAAATGGGTGGCAAAGAAATACAGAACTGACTACAGTGTAACGAGTCTGCTGGTAAAGGAGCGAAAACAATGCGTTTCGCGAAGACTGGGCGCGTAGACAAATGTCGGCGGCAAGTAGCCCTTGAGAATACATCTTGCTAGGGAAATAAACAAGAGTTTTACAAGTCAATTGGGATTTCAGGCTTGGAATTCAAACTGCAGTTTATGAAGGTGTACAGGCAGTACAGCAGCTTACTAAACACCATCATTACTACCACTGTTAACAGCTGTTAACCTAGTATAAACCGTAGGGTGAAATATTCTTGCAGCGTGTTGGAGCCGGTCGGCTACGTCGGGCTGCACTTCCGCCAGTCAGCGGATCTGTTTTATGCTTTGTACGGCAGGGGCATGTACGACGGCCGTATAACCTCCAAGCCGTAAGAGATCCATGCTCATCCCATCCTGGTTGAGGAGCTTCAGCATTACTGTCGGCAACGGCTGGTCTGGTTTTACCGGCACTATGGCGGCCGTGACTCGCCTGCGGCTTACAAGGTCATTACTGAAGCACTGCTGAATGGGGAGTTGAACGGGCATGATGTCATTCGCAAGATCCTGTCCTCTGACGAGCATATGAGACGGGCAAAGTTGGCAATGACGACGCTTGGAAAGCGTTTCAAGTAGCGCTGCAAGTAGGTGTACGCCACTTTTTTCCTTATTCTCCTTATTCTCCTTTACAGTACGGCAGCCAGCGGCAGCTCTTGGTATTAGGCCAACTACTGGGGTAATGCAATATTGCCGAACAGCAGGTTCGTCTGTGTGCGCGTGCAGCGTTGTGTGTCGGGTGTTATGCAGGGTAGGGCCCATGTGTGTACGGCAGGTATTGCTTATAAGTTCTATTGGCTTTTCATTTATATCATAATGACCCTGGCGTATGGACGGGTCTCGGTTGGGATGTTGGCAGCGCTTGCATGCATCGGTAGGCAGGGAGCAGGCATGTCGTTAGGGATTGATAATTGGCAAAGTATTGGTGTGTTTAGCAGGACTGATGGGTGCATTTAAGCGAGATGGGTTTATCAAGTACGGCATGCGTCAGGATTAGTTGTCCTTGTAAGCATGTGTGTACGGCGAGGGGTAATCGGACACGGAGAGACACGGCAACGTTACCCTTTAATGCGGTTACTCTCAACTGCCAATCGCTGGCTTACGACGTTGCAATTGCATATGGAACCGCGTAAAATGAGCTGAATGAAGACCCATGGGTCAGTCCGCGACATGCACACATTCTCAGTCACGCCTTAATCTTTCCGTTCCCAGCCACCAGCTGCAACCATGTAAAATACAACGCATTGATCATCCCTACGTGCGTCATGTCAGGGGTATCTACTTGCGCTGCAGCCACAGGTACATAACATTGTACGCCCCCGGTGCCTGCAGCTCCCCAATCAGCCTCTCCACTCGCCGGAACACCTCCGAAACCAGCGCTCGTACCTCCTCCTCGCCCCGACCCTCCCCATTTTCAACCTCGGCCTCCTGCAAACCCGCAGCCGTCACTGCGGCTGCTCCTCCGCTGTTGCTGCTGCTTTCGCTGCTTGGGGAGGACTGCTGACGTGGTTGTCGGCTGCGGCTCAGGGCGTTGAGGAAGTGTTGCTCGTGCACCGCCCTCATGGAATCCGCCATCTGCCGTACCGCCTGCCCCCTGCTGAGCGCTCCCGCCTGGTAGGCTGCATGCGCGGGGTGCTGCATGCGCGCCTGCTCCTCGCAACGCAGCGACCACTCGTGCGAGAGGGGGCCGGAGCACAGCAGGGCACGCACGTCGTCCGGCTGGTAGAAGAAGGCAGGAAAGGTGAGGTACGGCAGATCTTCTGGATCCAACAGACCCTCCGAAACCATCTGGAGGGCCACGGTGCTGGAGGCCTGTATGGTGCGATGGGAACGTAATAACTAATAAGGAACGGATTGTTAAGATGTTAACTGTTGATGAGGAGCTCCAACGGAAGGTAGAACGAGAACGGCTGCAAGAAAGCAAGGGAACGCGAGAGGGGTTGCATGCCGACGCATGGAGCTACCACATGGAACTACCGGACCGCACGAGTGCACGGTGGATGCGCAGGTAGCCAAAGCGCTAGCCGAAGCGCTAGCCAAAGTGCCCAGTAGCACTGTAGCATCCCGCCTTGCTTGTCCGGTTACCTGCCGTACGCTGCCTACCCTGAGACACACTTACACTTCCAACGGGGTCGATCTCATCCCTTCCCGGCGTGTGCGTGAGGAAGTGGCACACCAGCGAGCCGCCCGGCGCCACCTCCGCCGCCCGCAGCTCGAAGAACCGTCGGAGGCCCGCGTTGGCTGCCGTACGGAAGGATTCGTACGCTTGGGTGTCTGACGTGGCGAAGGGCAGGAGCGTGTCGGTGGGTCGGCGGCCGGGCGGCATCTCGCCTAGCCAGTGGAGGGCGGTGAAGGACATGGCCAGGTGGAGGGAGGCGGGCGGGAACAGCCTGCGAGGGGAAGGGGGCGAAGAGGGGATCAGGGGCCGCAACACATTCCGCATCAATCCACGGAATAAGGTCCTGGTCCATGTAAGCATGCATGCATGCCTGCAGCGCCTTCCGCCCCTCAACCCTCCCACCTCTTGTAGAAGCTCCTCCCCACCACCGCCGCAAACACCTGCAGCCCCTGGCACTCCCCCGGCCCGGGCAGGTACGACTGCTCGCCCTCCACCACTCCGAACAAGCTGCCCCAGTCGTTGCCCGGCAGGTCCACGTGAAACACCTGCACGCCCAGAGGCAGGAGGGCAGCCGCACCACCCGCCTCGCCTGCTCCCGCCGGCGCAGCGACTCGCGACTGCAGCACCTCCAACACCGCCGACACGGGGGCGACGGAGTTGGCGCCCTGGCTGAGGGGCCGGGGACAAGGGGAGGAGGAGAGGCAGCGGATGGCGGTGTGGGTGCCACCACACGGCTGCTGTGACGTATCATACGTTCATACCAAATCGGAATGCGTATCGTCACAGACCCGGCAAGCATAGTGGTTAAAGCCATCAACCCCATGCCATAACACGTATATACTATATTACCGGTAACTCGATGACACCAAATAATGTGACTAAAGGCCGAAACAAAAGTAATGCCCGCGTAGATAATGCTCATCTGTTCGCGGTTCCGCTCACCTGCAACCCAGGTCAGCGATGCGGAAAGCGCTGCCAGGTACAGTGGGCAGCGGTGCCGTGGCGGCAGCCTGCTGCAGCAGTCCCAAGCAATGCTCAGTGAAGGCCCTTTGGACTTGAGAATGCTGGTTGTAGTAGCCGTCTTTCTTCATTACTGTGTCTCGAAGCGCCATCGTGCAATACAGTAGCTATCGAACGAGCCGCTGGAATGTTTAGCGAGCGTCCGTGACTGTTTCTTGCCAAATACAAGTCGGTCAGACAAGCTGCTAGTAAGTTAAGTAACAGGAAAACGAGAAAGGGTAATCTACAGTGTCGAGCACGAGAAGGCGAGAGTAAGTTTCGTGTTGCTTCTCAAGTCGCGCAGGCGGAGACCCGTGGTTCAATTGGGCGCCGACGACAGCTAAACGTTAGCAACGTAATACCTCACGATAACGTGGAAGTCTGTTGCGTAGCTGGGGCGTCTGGTTAGTACACCTGCCACAGGAGGGGGCCCTATGAGGTCAGCCGTACTTTCTCCGCTAACTGTACGACCCACGTCTCCATGTGTCCTAACTCCTAAGGGTGTGGCGTTTGCAGGGACCTGGCGGCAGGTCGTGGTCTGTTGCTGTCGGCGCCAAGGTCAAATTATGTTCGCAGACACATGCAGCAAAGAAGCAGCGATGGACGGATTGTGCAGGTGCCCTATGACACGCCACCCTCAACCCTAGCAACTGGCCGATATATCATACATGTTACAATAGCACTATGACCCATGGGTCACCTTCGCAAAACCTTTGGCTCAGAAAGAAGCCCTTTTGACGTGTTATGCGGCAGGTAGCGCACCCGTTTCACCCCCGAACTCCGGTACTTCAGGCGCCCCATCCTCCCGATCATCTTCCAGCCCTCTCCTCGGCGGCCGGGCGGCATCTCGCCTAGCCAGTGGAGGGCGGTGAAGGACATGGCCAGGTGGAGGGAGGCGGGCGGGAACAGCCTGCGAGGGGAAGGGGGCGAAGGGA